ACGCGTCGACCCATGCGCGCCGGGGGGTGTTCACTTAACCGATTGCGAAAGGTTCCGACGAGGAAAAAGCATACGCGCTGTGCCACAGAATTGTCGGCTCATCGAATTTCCAACGTCGTTTCACGCAATGACCCTGAAATAAAGAAGCAGCCGCGCGGTCAATCATCATCATTCCCCGACTCAAGTTAAATCGAGAATCGCCGCTTGAGAAATTATGACGTAGAGCCCGACTATTTATGCCTAAATTATATTTATGCAAGAATTTTTACGCTCTTATCTAACGATATTTCGACAATTTTGTGTTTGCCAGTGTTATTACGAGAGGTAATTGCGAGAATCCAATTGCAAGTATGCGATTCGTGGGATAATTGCAATTTTTGCTCGCTCACCTCACGCTTCGCAGACTAATCTGTAGGAGTTTTCATTTAAAACAACAAGCGATACAGAAATCTTTCATTTCTATTTTATGATTTTATTGATTATGCAGCCTCGCGAAATTGGAAACTAATCCATTTTTATATGCGTTATACCATTTTAAAATTAAGCCGACGCTGTTGGTTTATTGCAATAATAATAAAGACAAATATATGCTTGTGTGTCGGATAATAGTAAGATCGAGCAAAGTAAGTTTTTTTTAAATTTTCATTGTCTTTTTTTTTTCTCTTTTTTTTTCTTTTTTTTTTTTTTACGAGTATAACCAAAGGGATTTTTATTTGGGTATAGCGATATTGATTAATCGAAGAGAATTTATTAGCGAAAAGATCCGGGGGATAGCTAGAGAAATATATAGGAGCAAAATATGTAAAGAGTGTGAATGTAGGATAGAGATCGAGCAAAGGTGCGCGGGGAGTTTGTGGTGAAAGAGGATGAAGAGGTGTTGCTCTGGCGGGGGATGGAGGAAGAGGGGTGTTTGTGTGTGCGTGGAGCCGATTCGGATCAAGCGAACAAAGAGAACAAAGAAGAAGAAGGGCAGAACTCACTTTTGGCTCAATAGATTTTATTCATAATGAGATGCATTTAGGGTGGAAAGTTACGTACCGATTTAACCACTTTATAACAGCATTGTTGTGCGAACTGTCGTGGTGGTGCGAGGTTAATTGATTAAATGATGTACTGCCGTACGAACGTTGGTTTTATTTAAAGCGACATTTATTGGAGTTAGAAGTTTATCATTGGTAAATCCGAATGAAGTATGGTAGGCCATTAGTATATTATCCTTGAAATAAGGGAGATTCACTCGTTGCTTGCTTTATCGAGCTATTACGTGGACTATAATTGTGATGTGATTACTTAAGTGGTTCCATAATAATTGTACAAAAGTGTGCCTCTAAATATATGTATATATATATATATATATATATATATATATATACGTGTATCTGTGTTATTTAATAAATCATAGAAAGATATTATCCATATATTAGATTATTTTATGAATATTTCTCACCTAACAAGTCCAAAAAACCATAATAAATAATGATTAATGGACATTAAAAGTTCTTAGAGTATTATATATTAACTTTTGAAGTAAAGTAATCGAATTAACATTACTTTGTTTTTTTTTCTTTTTTTTTTTGAGGAAAAAGTTATATCACAGAAAAAACCTAATTAGCGTTATTAATGCTTTATAAAGTTTACGAGGATCAAAATTAACAAGATGAACTTACTCGGTCGCTCATCTATAAATATCTTGAAAAGTTATTCGAATACTTAATTCTTTATTTTTTTTAAGCGCAACCTCTTTTTGGAGAATAGATCGACGTTCTCATTCTTTTTAATGAATGAACGAAGCGGGAACATCACATTTTGTATGATTCTAACGAGTATCGATTACTTCCAAGGATCGAACAAAATCTTTATTGTTTTTTCCACAAGTTTTTTAACTAAGCACAGTATCGTTTACACAAGCTGGGATTTTGATAGTTTACTTTTCCTTCTTTCTCTCTCTCTCTCTCTCTCTCTCTCTCTCTCTCCCTGTCTGTTTGTCTCTTTTCATAGAAATATTTATTTTTTCATTTTTTTTTTTAAATAGTTATATTGAGAATTGGCCGTTTTGTGACGTTTTATTAATAAATTTATTGCATCACTATTGTTTTATCGAGTAAAGATGATTTAGCATAAAAACGTATTATGTTCAAAATTTCAGTTATTTTATGAAATTATTGATATTATAAAATAACCTTCAATTAATTGTTTGGTTCAATCAACGAAAGTAATTAACTGTTATAAATAAGTAATTATTTTTCTTATTTATTATGTATTTGATACGCATTAATGCAAATACTTATCCATAAACGTAATTATGAAAGAATGTTTTGATTGTTTATGGAATGGAGGGTTTAAATTTAATTCTTCTCTGTATTTTATTGATTAAACTTTATTAATTAAATATAATGATATACAATTTCGATGTTTTTCTCATAAAATGGTTTTTAAATATCATTGGAAAAAATTTAAATTGCATATTTAATTTTATATGATTCGTATAAGTCGATAATAATATACGATCGTTATAAAATTTCATATAATTTCATTGTAATTACTCTAACAAAGTTAAATCAATACTTTTACCACATTAAAACTCAACACCAATTAAATTTTACTAGTTAGTATATGCTAAGAAATACAAAGATTATTTTATAGATATAATTATTAATATAATTGTTAATACATGATTTTTGAGATTTTAAGTTATTTGTGAGAGAGAAGTACAGAGAAGGCCCGTTGCTCTGAGAATGTAGGTTTTACATTTAATAATTATTTATATTTGTTCACAATAATTTAACTTAAAAAATTTCATACTCAAAATTGAATGAGAAAAGAAATAAAGGAAGGATTATATTTATAAATTTGAGTAAACTTCTTATGTCCACAATAAATAGTTTATATTATTTTTTTCTTTTTTTTTTTATAATTGATTTTTTTATAATTTTTTTTATAATTTTTTTCTAATTTTTTTTATATTAATTAATTTTTATAATTTATAATTTTTATAATTTTTTATAATTTTTTTTATAATTTTTATAATTTTTTATAATTTTTTTTATAATTTTTATAATTTAAAAATTTTTATAATGTTTGTGTAATTTATATAATTCGTACAAATATACATATTAATTATTTACCGACATAATTATTGTTCTTTTCTTATCCATTCGTTGTATGTCGATACAAAGAAGTTTTAAATTAATTCTAAAAAATTTATTATACATAATACGCTCGTACTTTAACCATTTATATCAAAATTTTTGTTTATTAAAAATGATTTCGAGCTTACTTAAGATAAAATAAATAAATAAATCAATTTCACAATATTTACATAAACAAATACAAATATTAAAATATCACTTATAAATATAAAATGATCTTTACGTTAAACTAACGGATTAAATATAAGTGTAAATTAAATGTGAATATTATGATTTTTCTATTATATATAAGCATGAAGTCGTATTAAAATAAAATAAATGGTTCCCGTAATTATATAAAAATTTACACATGTATAAATTTTAAATATGATTTGCTCGAAATTACTTATATAGTAAAATTACGACAAAGAAATTATTATAAGTATATATATATATATATATATATATATTGTGAATATAACGATTATTTAGTATTTCCATTCGTAAAGTGTATTGATAATAGAGTCTTGCCAAATAAATTGTCAATACAGTATTTGATTTTACAAATTTATCTTTAATACAGGTTAGTTTTCTTTTTATGTTAATGTGAAAAAGGAATAAGATATTTTAACATGATAGACAAACAAAAAATTAATATGATTTGCTTTATTGTGGATCAGTAACATATTTTTAATCAATGTTGGATTAATGAGTATATATACAAAAGTCTTGCGCTTCAAAGTTATTTTTAGCTGATGATTTATATGTCAGATGATTTTACATCCACTTATTTACCAAATAAGTTTTTGCTTTATTTTGTGAAATTTCATTCACAGTTTAAATTAAAATACAACATGTATAGTTGGTAGAAAAATTCAAGCGACCAATTTACTTCCCGTTATTAATATTTGAAATAAATGTTTTTAAAAATATAGAATTATAAAAATATAGAAAATGTAAAAAAATGATTTCATTTCATTTTTGAAAGTGATAGAAATTTTAAATAAGAAAGCACAAATTTGTTATTAAATAATTTTTTTTTTTTTTTCAATATAGCTCGAAAACGAAATGAATTTTCATCATTAACATTAGCTTTATTATTATGTTAATAATCTTAAAAGGTAATTATTGAGATCATATGAGATATTTATCTACTTGCTTAATTATTTATTATTAATAAAGTATTAATAATTAGTTTGATGTTTCATGCAATTGACTCGAGCGATTGAATGTTAAAGTTTCAACATAAATTATCATTGTTTGCACAAATTTAACTTCATTAAGATTTAGATTTATCTTTTTGTAATATATTATAATCATTGGATAAGTGATTTAATATATTGATTCTTTATTTATTATGCGCCATCGCATAATATTACTTTAATAATTTAATTGAACTTAAATAATTTGTGTTATTTATAAAGCATGCAAATAAAAGAATGTGATTCGATGGTCTTAAATATATAATTAATATTAAGTATAAATTCAATAGATTCCGAACGACTGTCAAATAATCAAATAAATTATTGAATGGAAGTGCTCGTGAAAAATTAACGGAAAATATCTGAAATTGCAAACAAAAGCCATTAGTTTTTATAAGCCATTCGATTTAAGGTGAGACATAAAATTAACAATTTGAAATGTTTGTGTAATACATCATTGAAAATATGTAATTAAATCATAAGTGGATTGATTTTTCAACAACGAGTAAGCATAAGCAAACGAACAAAAACGAACAAAACAAAAAAACAAAAAAAAAACAAAAAAAAAAAAACAAAAAAAAAATTAAAAACAAAAAAAATTTACATTGTTACAATGATTCAGATGTCGTTTATTTGAATTCGCGTTGAATACAAAATTATTTTTTATCTATTTACGCATAATTAATAGTAATAAATATCATAATAATGTAGAGTGAAAATTTCGTGTAATTTAGATTTTGTAGAAAATTTTTGAAGAATATTACAGCAGACGCATACAGTATGCTTGTAAAAAGTCACGTATTTGTCCTCGAATGATAAAGAAAAATGAATGAAAATTACTTTGCGTTTCATAACCGTTTGATATTGGCATTTATTATCATATCTGCTCTTACTTCATTTGTAAAATTGGCTCTGCAGCATAACGAACGAGCAACGTGTCTTAATAGACAAGATCTCGATAGATTCCAATTGGATTTCACTAGTGAATGTTGCTCTCCTTCTATCTATACACAATAAACTCAAGCTCATTCATGCACTTATGATCTACATAATACTATCGATGCAGCACCAGAGAAGAAAAGCTAAAGTAAATAATAAGGACGGGTGGGGGTAAACGATCCACAATCATTCAAATTGTCTCGAGATTCGATTATCTTCCCAGCGGTCGCTGTCTGAATGTCCAGGTCGTACACGGAGCAGGAATTTTTACTAATGGCATAAACGCTATTAACGCTACTTGTACTCGAATTATTAATGTCCTCGCTCGACCTGCAAATGCCCTCGCCCGAGTTCGTCGAGCCGAAAATCAGTTCTGTCTTATCCTTGGATCTTCCGGGCGTCAGGATCAGTCGCGTTAAGATCATAAAGGGCATCTCGAAGCAGCAGCTGAGGGAGAGCGATAGGAACATTGTTAAGCAGAGATTCCCGAAGAAGGCGTGTAGGGCACTGAATGTCGACAATCTCCCGGGTGTGCGAACACTTCCGATATTGTAGAGCAGCACGATATAGTGGCTGAGGTAGGCGCTGTACGTGAGCTTTGACAAAGGTATCCAGGCACGCCAGCATAGGAAGGCATTGAGAGGTCCTGAAATTCATCACCGACATATGTATTTCACTTTGTCTTTCATTTTATTAGAGTCAATTTGCGGCGCTTATCGACTTTGGCGCTTTACTTCTTTCGAAAGCTTTCAACATCGAGGCGAACAGTACATAACCGACATCGTAGCAAATATTATTCGTTATACGTTGCATTCAAATTTTACTCTATGATTTTATCAATTATTATTATTATTATTATTATTATTATTATTATTATTACTACTATATTATTATTATTATTATTATTATTATTATTATTATTATTATTAGGTAGCATCGTTAAGGCCAATTTATTCGCAGTTGAACATCAATGTCAATGATAAAGCGAGTGTTCGCGGGGGCGAAAAATGCAGTTTTGAAAAGAAAAAAATTTCTTATTTGGGAGAGGGGCGGCGGCGGCGGCGGCGGCGGTAATATTTTAATACGATGTTTTTCGCGGGTTACGAATTTTTATTCTACATCATACAACTTCTTGACTCTTCGATAAAATTAATTCTTCGACGCTGTACGCTCGAATGTCTACTTAATGCATCATCGGGAGCAGACGAAATGTCCGTAGTCAAATAGCTATTAGTCAAAGAATTATTATATATGTCAAGAGGTATATAAATATAAAATATCTGATTTATTTATAAATATCGATGTAGTGACTGGACCAAATTAATGCCAAAGCAATTAAAGCATATTACGAGTTGAAAAAGATACGTAAAATTAATAAGAATGATAAATAACGATTGATACGACGTAAAAAACAAATTGCTTACTAACTAAACAAACGACTATATAAAAAATAATAAAAAATTATTGATTACTATTGTTATGATATATTAGAGATAGAGATTGAGTTACAATGAAACACATTTACATGGGAATAGTATTAAAAATTTTTTAATATTAATCGAATGAAATGAGAAAGAAGGGAGGAACGAATGTAGCGATAATAATTATTACACAATATTTCTATAAATATGTATCTTAATTGCATTATTATCCTCACTCTTACCTGCATATCCATTCACGCAGACAAATATGATCCAGGAAACAGACAACGTGAAGATGTGTCTATGTAAGCCCGCGTAAAAGCTCGCTTCCCATTTGTTGTAAGGATGATTATTGAAATACATTCCACGTGGTCCTAAAATTGCTGATATTCCCGCTGTTATAGCTATCAACCAACCGCATATAATATAAATCTGGACAGAATTTATTGCTCAAAATTATGTCATTTAAATAAGCAGAGATCATTTGCTTTTAAATTTGCATTTGCATTTGCATTCTTGGTTAACGAATATTGACAATTAGTTTGAGTTAAAAGTTTAAGCTAAAATTACCCTTTGAACGATAAGTTGATATATATATATATATATATATATATAAACTGTTCAAACATTCATTTCTTACGAATGTTTAAACAAATAATTAAATTACTTAATTATTAATGAAATGCATTCTCTTTACAACAAAATAATATTTAATATTTTCTTAATACAGACGACAATTATACATGGATATAGGAGGTGAAACTTACCGTAGAAATTCTTATTTTGTAATGTTTCGTTTTGAACAAAAGATAACCAAAAGAAAGTCCAATTATGTAAGGTCCAGCTCTCGCATAAACTCTGGTGTAAATTTGCAAATACACATTTGTCACATCTTGCATACTGGAATGTATAGAGGAAGTTTGGTGTTGGTGAAAAAAAAACTTTCTAAGATAAAACTGTAGAAACATGTATTAAAAAAAAAAATAATAAAAAATATTATTTCTTTATTTCATATATTTTAAATGTAAATAGAAGGTAAAAAGAAAAACATGCAAATTGGAATCAATATAGCGATGATTGAAAATGATAATATTTTACCTAATTAGACTAGAATAATAAGATTGATATAAATTGATCGGTGAGCCAATTCTTATACGTTAATTAATAGTTATAAAATGAAAAAAAAACAAAAAAACAAAAAACAATGATAAAAAAAAATGATATAAAATGAAAACAAAATTTATATTTCCTTCGAAAATCGTAAAAACAAATCAGGTTAATCATATGAGTAAAAAATATATAAAATTTTTACGATGTTAATTTATATTAAAAGCTTTTAATGCTCAACCGAAAGTATTATTATTAAAACTTTTATCTATATATATATATATATATATATTTCGTTGTCTAGTTTTATATATATTTGAATAATTAAATAATTTTATACACCATTAAATATTTTTTTATACACTACTCATAATTTTATGTATATTAAAATTTTTAATTATTCGAATATTTTAACGTGCATATTCTGTGTACCTTTTGTAATACAGCATTGTTCCAGTTAATTTAAGAAAAAACGTTACGAAAAATGGTATCAGTACTGATAAAATGATTCCAGTAATCGCTATAATCCAAAATAATGCTCCTTTATTGCTTTTAAGCATTGGATAAAGAAAAATGGGTGAAATCCATAACAGCTGCATATCAACGGATAGATACCAACTTTGTGACATGCACTGCAATAAAAAGAATACGGTTTGGTTCTTTTATCTTTACCTCGCTGTGCTGACGCACAGATAAATAATTATTTTATAGCTTACAATATTGCTAATGTTGACATAATTATTTATATAGAGAAGATTTGTCCACCAATTGGCACGGCAATCTAATTTATTGCTGTGTATCCAGATATTCCATCGAGGTCCAGAGCCAAGTTTTTCAAATAACGTCGAATAAAAGCCAATTACAATTGCGTATGCTGGCGTTAATCTGAAAGAAATACATAATAATAATAGACCAATATAGTTCATATGTATTTGGGATTTGATATCGATGTAGCTTATTCTTTTTTATCTTTTGAATATATTATTTATGTGATTCTTACTTATCTAATTCAATGCATAATGGTTAAAAACAAAAAAGAAAAAAGAAAAAAAGAAAGTAATATTTGAAATAAAATAAGTTATTATAGATATTATATATACGCGATAATGAAATATTATATAATTATAATTATCATGTTCGTATTAGTTGAATATTGGAAAAATATAACAAAATGAATTTTAATAAACTTGTCATTAAGTCATTAAGAATAAGAAAATTTGATAATATGATATGTAAAACCTTAAACTTTTACAGAATTTTCAAGTTTTTCAAATATAAAATATTTAAATTTATAACTCGTAGACGGACAGTTTAGATTTTTTGTGTGTCATATTTTGAAAAAGAGTCCCGAGAATTATTATACAAGTCTATTAAAAAAATTTGATTTGAATTTTATTATAACACGAGCACTGCATTGGCCGCCATACAATTTCATAAAACGAATAAAATTTCGTGAATGCTTTTCGTACCTGAAATAGCGATTGAGATACAGATTGAAGACATTAACCGATGAATTAGCTTCCTTAGTACTTTTGGCTAATGACGTGTAAGCCAATAAAATGCCGCTAAGTAGGAAAAATGTGTCGGTGATGATATTGCCGTTTAAGACGAGCAGCGAACTCCAATCCTCGTGTAACTACATACAAGTATCATTCATGTACGTTTGTCATTTTTGTCGATACAATGTATTAATACATGCTCCAAATGAAATTGATAACGACACATTTATTGCATAACCATAACGACGCATCGTCATCTCTTTTTAAATAAATCATGAGAGTTGATGTTTAGACACGTTATAACGATAATTAAAAAGAGATATGGTCCTTGCGCTTTTATCGTGCTTTACACCAAATCATACAGAAATTATTGTTATTATATGCAATTGCGTTATAAAATGATGCGCGCAGTTCAGTGACGCGCTGTTATCGTTAGAATTCGATTAGCCGAGTTTGCGGTATTCACACATATAACTTTCTTGTGTACTAGAGCAACTATTTATATACGACGTTATTAACAACCGAATTACTTAATGAAGACATTTTTTACATTCACAAGCAATTAATTGTACGTTAATATTATCTATAAGTGACAAAAAAAGTCGTTTTACAAGTTGTTTTCTTAATAAATTTTACAGAACTTAAAAATATCAAAGTGCATGTATTTTTTCATGGCCAGACAAATATTTAATATAACATAAGTGTTAGTATTTCAATATTTTTATTAATTTTTTTTATCTCAAATCATAAGTATTTATTAAATAAATGAGAATAACTTGTTACCTTGCCATTGATAATCGTTCATTTTCAATTTCATTAGGAAAGAAGAATATTTTATTGTAAAATCAATATAATGCTACGCCAAATAATTATATTTTAAACAAATAATTACTTCGTTTTCTAATCTATTAAAATACTTTCAAAATTTCATAAGCACTTTTTTGTTTTTTTTTTTGGTAAATTAATTAAATAGTGTGCACCGGTCATGTACTATCGTGTTACTTAATTTTAATTCCTTATCATATGCCATTATAGAATTTTTGTTGGGATTGGGTATCTTAACTATTAACTTGAGCATTTGAAATTTATGAAATTTAATATCACAATTTTACGATATATCGAATAGTAAAATTAAAATTAAATTTAAGATTTCTGTCCATGAAAAAATAATTATTAATACATAATTATATGTGATGCGTATGAATTTTGAGCGGAGGATATATAACTTTAAATTTATAGTTTTAAATTCATTGAAATTAAATTGATTGGATTATTACGTTAGATAGTTCATTGTAATCTCTCAATTTAAGTAATGAACGATACAAGTAATTATTACTCAAATTCTATTTTAAACGAGTACACAATTCTAGTCAGTTTTCATAAATTTTGTGTAATATTCCATTCCAGACAATAACAAATATATAATAATATTATATGTTACTTATTAAATCGAAATTTCTGCTCATTGCGTATAAGAACAGAGAAAGATTAAATTCGTAATTACCTAGTGGACACTGAACATTAAGATATCACATGTAATAAGAAAAATTAATTTTCTTCTTTTTTTTTTTAATAGGAAAACTTTGCTATTGTTATAGATATATTTGAACTGAACTATATTATTTATTGAAAGTTTTTATTCTATTAATTTAAGTTCGTATAAAAATTCCGTATAATGATTATGTTTATTTGTTCGTACTGACAAATATATTCTCAATATAAGAACGATCAATAATAAAATACCAGATTAATATTTTATGTAAAAAAATAAAAAAATCAGTACACTATTTTACGATATATTCATTTTTAAAAAAAGTTAATAATTTTAATTTAGATTTAATGTAAGAATTTGAAAAACCATTTGCTTCCTACGATTTTTTAAAACTCAAAAGGATAGTTTGATAAAAACAACGTAATTTATAATAAATCAGTTTTTAAAAAGGAAAACTTATGTATTGTAATGATAATATGATATATATATATATATATATATATATATATATATATATATATATATGAATGAGTGTGCATGTATGTGTTTATGTAAAAAAATTTAAAAATTATGACAATCACAAGCACATTAGAATGAATTTGTTTCTAAATTTGAATATTTTTATTATATTTTCTCATTTTCGCGCTTTTGATCATAGATATTTGAAGTAATTTTTCATGTCCTCGATCTTCTTAACTTAACAGTTTTATAAGATATTATCAGTTAAAAATATTTGCAATCGTATATAAAATTACAGTTATAAAAACGACTTCTTGCAAAATAATTTACCAATGCGTGATATTTCTTTTTTCATAATTATATTTTACATGTATAATATAGAATTTATATTACTACATGAGTAATTCTTTTGTTTAAAAAATTACTTCGTTCCCTACTAAATTTCTCACTCTTTATTTTCTTTTTAATAATTTTCAATCGTTGAATTATATTTTTGAAGAAATAGAATTGGTTTTTGGATAAAAATATTATAAGAAAACGTTATTAAATATTTTAAAACAATAGACAAATAAAGCGTTCAGCAAGGTTTAATAAAAATCACTTATTTATATATAAAAAAAAAAAATTTCTCAATTTTTATCTGATTTGTTAATACTTTTATAAATATTGATAGTAAAATAATATGCCATAAGGACCAGAGCCGATTGAATAATTCTTATCATCTTTTTAAACAAAAGTTTTCTTATTATAAGCCTAAGAATTCTACATTATAGCAGATGTAAAAAGAATTTCTTGTTCAAATTTTCTTTTGATTATTATTGGTATTAAGACGTAATATTCACGTGAATATGTCTATTCGACTATTCTATTTACTTAATCTCAAAATAAACGTTTACGACTCTTATCTGCTTTAAAATCAAATTAAGAAGTTAAAAATCATTATACGATTCTTTCTAATAATACGTAGTTGTTGCGATTGCCTTTAACCTTCTAAGTGATTTTTATAACAAGTAAACGATAATATATTGATAAAGTTTCGTAAAATCACAGCCTTTGCTATATGCGTCATGTATTATATATTATAATGGAATAATCAGTCATGTTAGGCGCTCTTTAAACAAAATATTATTATGCACGTTCGCGTGAGTGCGTATTTATTGATTTTCTCGTTATTGACCTGATTTTGTAAAATAAGTACTTTTTTTTTTTTTTTTTTTTTTTTTTTTTTTTTTTTTTTTTTTTTTTAAGAAGAGCAAAAAACTTTACAAATATTTATCTTCCATTACACAATTGAAAAACATATAATTTTATATGCTATAGATGAAAAATATAAATGTCATTTCCTATTGAATTCTAAGCTGCTTTATCTTATTTCATTTATTACGTGGAAGGTTTCATTGACTGCTTTTGATAGAGAAAACATTAGGATGAAACGAGAAATAAATAACGAGATTGTTCATTAAATTAAAATGTTTCTTTTGTATTTGTTAATTAGATTTATCAAAATCATAAGGGTAACTATTATATTCTTATATTTTACTATAGCAATATACGACTTGGCTATTTATAAAGTTTGAATAATTATATGAACTTGGATTTGTTGATAAAGAGAAAAAGAATCGATCTCGATATAAAAATATAATATTATACTAATCAAATGCAATAAATAAATATGATAATATATATATATATATATATATAAGTATAAATGAAGTAAATAAAAGTAAATATAAAGTAAATTATAATAATAAAATTATAAATAAATGTCAGTTTTTAGCAAAATCATTAAGTATTAGAAAATATTGTTCATTACATTAACTGATCATATAGAATGTTAAGAATATAAATTAAGTAATATATAACAAAAAATGAAAATGTTGAGAAATATGGAATAGCAACATTTTACAGTAGATTTAGTAAAGTAAGTGAAGGATTAAAAGAAAAAAAAATCTTTATGTTTATTTGATATATTCTTAAAGGCGTAAGAAACTTGAAAAAAAAAAAAAAAAAAAATGTTCTAAAATTTATGTTTAAAAGTTCCATTGCATTTTTGAGAAATGTAATCGTAAAATTTTATCCTATTTATTCAATTAAATTAAATGACAATTAGACAATTGCATTTCTATACTCTTAATACTTCAATTGTAAACTTAATGCTAATATAGATAGTATCGGTAAGCAAGAAATGTATATTAACAATAAATATATACCTTTGGAATACGGCTGCGATCCATTTTCACTCCCACTGCTTCCGTATAGAACGTGTGTCCATATACAATCCAGCAGATACTGATATAACGCAGTCCATCGAGGCAACCAATCATATCCCTCGATCTCTCGGTGCTTAGTAAATTTTTCCCATTCGAATAAAGTGAAAATGATATGAGATAACTATGTTTGACATCTGACGGCAAAATGAAAACGACAAAGGTTTAATATAGTAATTGCAAGCTTAAACGTCTGCTTATAAATGTAGAAATACAATCACTAATTAGTGCTGACATTATTTTTAAAACTGATGTTTAGAGAGCGTATTTATAAATACGTAATATGTTCTCACTTGGACGATGAAAATGCATCGTTTGATTTGAAAATCCATCGGAACAGCGCGAAGTTATGCGTACCTTTGCACTTTGACTCCTCAGCTTTGCGTTTTGCATAGAGGTCGTAAGTGGTACTAGATATGATTATCGTCAAAAAAGTCAGCAAAACGCCACTGCATAATACAAAAGAAAAAAGTACAGAAGGTTTTAAATTAACGTAAGGCCAAATGGTATTATTATACTTGTATTGATATAAATAATATCTAATCTCACATTTTAGATGATTTTTAATGTTCTATTCTTTTCTCACAGTTTTCATTTTTAATCTTTCTGATCGATAAGTTTCAATTATTATTAATACTATTGTTATTATTATTGTTATTATTGGTATTGTTATTGTTATTATTATTGTTGTTATTAGTATTGTTATTGTTATTGTTATTATTATTGTTGTTATTATTAATAAGAATATTATACTCGCATTAATTGTTATAAAAACAATTTGTTAAGAAATATTTTTGATAAGAAATGCTACTGTTAAATCATTTTATAGTCAGCTGTAAAAATAGCTAATCGATCAAATCTCCTTGCATATAATTCAATTTTAATTTTTGAAAGCACAGTTTCTTACATATAGGACCAGTCGACGATATCAAATTTGTTATTATCCGTAACAACAGTATGGCAGGAATTTGCATTAACACTCACTGCAAAATCTAGCCGACCATCTATTTTGAGAGGATCTAGAGCAAGTTCGAGAGCTTCTGATATCTCCGAGTGATTACAGGTTGATGGCACACACCATGTCCATTCATAATCCACTGAATTATCAGGAACATTTTTTAAATTCTAAAACGTGACCATATACATTTTTTTTTTTTTTACATTTACTCGAATCTCTCCATAAATAACCATCTATTTCCAACAGATTCTTTAATCCAAAATTAAAATTTTTAATGTTATGCTATTATTGACTTTTGAAAATTTCAGAAATATAATAATATATTATGATAATTTACAATAATAATTTTATATATTAAGCTTTGCGAGTAAGATATGTTGTCGGTTATTTTTATTTATTTATATTGCAATGTCTGTAGTATTAAAATTTCTTAAATATTTTACCGCAGCCTTAGCGACTTGAAGAAGTAGATCTTTCATATCCAATTCCAAAGATCTTCTCGGACCTTTAAGAATTTCAAATTGCACCGAAGCACTGCAAGCTTGTGCTATAAAATTTTGATCGGTTTTGATTTGTAAACATTCGTCATAATTTCCCAATTGTTGTATGTTACCACTTATTACTCCAGGAGGAATTTTTGCGGACGCATCGTACACTGAAATAATCATTTATTTACTTGATAATGTAGCCTATCATAAGGTAATACTTAGTCGTATAAAATACAGAATGATATTACAAATAATAAAGCAGTTAGTTATTCTAGTTTATTAATAGTAACGCAAAGGTTGATGATAAGAAAACCATTATAACCTGTTATAAATTATATAGCTAAAATTGAAAAGTATTTGTTATTAATGACGTCTAGAATAATTTATGTAATATACGTATTTCACCGAGAATAAGATTAAACAATATTCTATTTATAATAAAAAGCCAATAATTAAACAATACTAGTTGTTTGTTCATAATTCGTCATTTGCATGTACATGTTGTATCCAGTATTGTCATCGAGAAATATATATGAAGATACTCGACTTTTACACAAAGCTTTGCAATCTATACAAACACTTTCAAATATTTATATCATATTTTATTTACCTTCGCATATTCGTAATGCGTAATAGTGGTTACTTTACTTTCTCATTAAAAATAACATTAATAATACTAAAAATAATTCTAAATTAATAAAATCGCAATATTTTAGATATTGACGAATCCTCATCGAACTATAGTCATTAAGGAATATTAGTTTAATTATAAATCAATATTTTATCGTATCAATCCGATATTAAGACATTTATTAGAAATGTGTTAATTACAGAAAGTAATTATAGGTATACGTACAATAAAAACATGTTTTTTTTTTTTTTTTTTTTCTCATAAATAAATGAAAATAATTTCAAATACATTCTATTGGGCTTAAGTAAATATTTATTGTTTTGCAGATATATTAGCATGGAAAAAATCTCATTATTCATTTGTCCAGTTTGATGACTTTCATGTAAATATACTATGAGATTTGTCAAGTAAATCAAACATATGCTAGTAAAGACCTTGACATAACGATTACAATTATCTTTATTACTTCATTCATTGCCATTAGTCATATTTTTCGTTACTTTAGAGTACTTAAATGTATACAAACAACTACGTTAATAAGCATTTAATGCAAAATTTTATATGATCAATTATATTCGAATTTTTCGAAAAAATTGTTTTCATGCTTAAAACGAATAAAATATTTATTTTAATGATTATTGAACGTAATGAGATGAATGATTATTATAAAAATATTAAAAATATTGTAAATTCTTGTAAATCTACTCTCCTAATTCTATCAATGAATGCGTAATATTATCCTTTAATTTTCTTTCTATTTACTTACATTAAAATTATTTTAATTGAAAATATTAATTAGATCATATTGCTAAAACATAAATATTATCAAATTTCTCTTGCTAACAAATTTATATTCTATAGTGCAAAATAACACTTACATAAGTCAAAGCATATTCAATTTTTTGATATTCTAGTGTCAATAAGCCTTCGGAAAGATTCTTGTAAATATTTCATATAGCTTGGGGATTATTTTATTAGAAAAGCTATAATAAATTAACAATGAAATGAAATTATCAAAAAATTATTTCAATATTAGAAAAAATATATATATATGTTTGTTTATATACATTAAGATTTTATTTATAAATATTGAATAGTTTCGTTTGAAGGATTAGGAAATTAATTTATCAAAATCTGCCTCAGAATTTAGTTATAAACAACAATTCAAGAAATCATAATTAACTATTTGCAGGTGAAAATTAGATTGAGTCATAGTATTTGTATCGCGAGTGTAATGAACTTTCCGCGTGGTGATTCTACGCAATGATTTGTAAAAAAAAAAATGCTCGCATGAACGAGATAAATCGACAAAGAGAGAAAGACGCAGAGAAATCGGTGTCGACTTGTGAAATCATCTTCTATGTTTATCAACACTAGGAAGCACGTTATTCTTATGTGACGGTGGTGGGGCGGGGGGAGGGAGGGGGGTGGGGGAGGGAGGAGGATTTATCGGAGAAATGAAATGAACGGGGCTTTGCAAAAAAATCAAACGCCTCGTTGAAAAACCGTTGTACTGAAAGTTATGATGCTATTTCTATGGAGTGAACCAAAGATAAAGGATTTAATCTTTATATATTCAGAAACAATTAATGAATAATGTAAATTAATTTTTTTTAACGTTAATGAATATTTTATTCGTTTTCTTTTAAGACTTAGTTGAAAATTAACTAATGTAGAATAATTATATATTTATAATAATGTATAATAATGTATCTAATTGCAGTGCTCTTTATTTCATTTATTAAATTTTGCGGCAAGATTAAACGCATTTTGAACACAGGTGAAACGAAAATTTTATTTCTTTGTTAAAAATACAAGAAAAGAAAAAAAAAATAGACGCGTTTATGTTATAGGAAATGCTTTTTCTCATTAGCTCAGCTTGGAAATGAATGCATACGCATGTCGCCCTCGTATTTAAAGATTTTAATTTAATAATTTGTATGGAGAATGAATATATTCATTCAATGCAATTTTAAAGTAATATTCTCGAAGGTAAGGGGATAATCTTTTTCATAAACGAAACAATTAACCAATATACTTTATAAATTTATATATCGTCATCATCATATAATCAGAACAAATTTAATATTTCAAATATCGAAAATCAATTGGAAATATATAGATTATAGTACAATTACAACAAATTATATTTATAACCTACTAATTAAAACGCCCTTCGTTTTATTAATTTTATATTAATTAGAAATTTATTGATTACGTAAAATTTTTGTGTTATATTTTTTACTTAGTTTCTTTATTTGATGAAAGAAATTTAAATATCTAACAAGTATTTCAATCATAATTTATGATAAAATAAAATATATTTTTTACGATTTTTTAAAAGTAATTACACGACAAATAATAAGAAAACATGATTAACAAAATTTAGAAATGCATATTTTTATAGATTAAAAGGAAATTTTATAGATGGGACATCTTACAAGTTTTCTTATAAATATTATAATTATATTTCTTAAATATTGTATATTTATGATATTTTTGTAATGAAAAAAAAAATTAATATATAAAGATGAAAAATATGCTTACATAAAATTTAATTAAAAAATTCTATTTTAAAGGATATTAAAGCAACAACAAAAATTTAACATTTCTTAATGTAAAGCATTCTAACGAATAATGAAGTATGTAAGTAAGTAAAATGTACGTAAGTGTATGCATTAGATTTTCATAGATTTTCCTTTAAAAAACAACACAACAATCACTTGTAATATAATTTATATACAAATACCTATTAAGTTATTTAAAAAAAAAAAAAAAAAAAAAATCAAGATAAAACTTGGGCATTATTACAAAAATACTTCGGCCATATTTATTAAATTACGATATTATATATTATTTAATTATAAGCAATTTATAAGTTTTGTTGTTGATGTTCAATTGAATTGCGTTGATATGTATTGAATTAAAGTAAATTGACTATTTAACGAGCAAAAAATAATATTTCAAAGGATCTTTTAAAATAAATGAAATGTGAATTTGGTGAATAAGATACGTGAGCAATACAAACATTAGAGAGGAAAATATATCCTTAGTTCTTTGTCTGAATTAAAAAAAAAAAAAAAAAAAAAAAAAAAAAAATATATATATATATATATATAAACCAAAGAAGAAAGAAAAAGAAAAATGAAAAAATAACAAATAATATAACGGAAATGTATGAGAATTTTAATAGCTTGAGTAAACAATTTAAAATTTTTGCAATTAAATATATAAGGTGACTTATTGATAGTAAATTTGACTTATTTCATGCCAAGAATTTATTATTTAATCTTGTATAAGGTTACAAGTTACGATGAGGTCAATTCTTTTACGTAATTTTGTGGCGTATTGACTGTAATGTCTGGAGATTTATCTAAGAAAATATACGTGCCACGATAGCAATTGATAAGAAAATGCGTTGTCGTTATTACGCTTTCCTATACATTATGTGCTTGATAATATAAATCAAATGTAAATCGTTTTTAAATCAATACAAATGTATGAGATATAATTTTGTATTGACATAACCGAATACTTAAAATGGCGAGTTAAACTTAATTTAACGAATAAAAATTAATTTTTATGCAAAAAAAAAATATATAAGCACAGTTAGATAATAGAATAAATCAGAGGTTAGATTTTATAAAAAATTGACGTATTGCAGATAAAATGCTATCGACTTTAGAATTTAAGTTATAATTTTAATGACACTTGTAATGTATATTGTTTAAGTAAATCTATTATAGCTTAAAACAATATTATAAATAATTTTTATTTACTTGTATTATATATTTTTTAATGTATGCTTTTTAAATAATTTCATTGTAATTTTATGAAATGAATAAGAATTGCTAATGTAAATTCTATGAAATATCCATCGTTTATTATATGTAATATCGAGTAAATTATGTTGAGTTTCCATTATTATTCCTTATTCTTTTTTCTTTTTCTTTTTTTTTTTTTAATCTTTTATTTATATTATCTACAATATAATACACCATAAATATTAAGATTAGAAATTATCTTACCCCAAGACTCCCAAGATATTTAATGTTTTAGGAATTATAAGTAACTCGGCTCTGATGCCTCCTTTTTACATTATTCTAATTAATATGATTGCAATAAAGTTTTGTTGTAAGTAATTGATTAGATTGAATATTTAATCATATGATAAAGGTAGGGATAGAGTAAGTGTTGCTATCTTATATAACATTATATCTGCTAGGACTTTTGCAAAACTTGGAATAAAAGGTAATGTTATTTTATCATTAATGCAACAGAGGAAGAGTTTGTATAGTAAATTCTGGGTCAACGTATTTGTTTATTTACAAATCACCAGCGCTATTGAAGCTTATTTCTGCGTATGTAATTAAATATTGTTTGGTATGTGAAACCTTAAAGCAATTTTATGGATAGAGAGGAGGTACATTGAATCGTGTACGTTATTCACAATCATTGAATGCAATGATTTTACAATTATAATGTGATTTAATAATCCAAGTTTATACATTTTAATTGTGCTTAATGCATATCGTCGAAATATTATTGCTTCCTCTAATTACTTTTCTCTAAAGTCTCTCTGTCATTTATTCAATTACTAGTTAATTATGAAAATTGAATTTTTGTACCAACGTCTTATGTCCTCAATTTATTGCAATAATACCTAGAATTATTATCGCCTTGTCAAAATAATATGTTATAATATTTATAGAAAGAAGTTCATTTTTTATGAATTAGTATTTAAAGTAAATAAAGTAAGATGCAAAATTCTACTTATACTTTTTTTTTTTTTTTAATTATATGGTTAAAATCTTGTTAAATGACAAAGTAATGTCAATTGTTATTGAAACTTAATAATTTTAATAAACATATAAAAATTACTTATTCGTTTTAAGTGTAATATACTATTTAGTGTAATATCAACAACTATTTTTTTTTTTTTTTTTTTTAATGCATTTTAGCTTTTCACCGTAGTTAAACAAATTAATGTGACTGCATATTAACAAATTTTTTTACTGTTTTAAAGCATAAAAGCAAGAGACAATGCCGAAATATACTCGAACGTTATTTGCAAAATATTTTATTTTATTTTATATATATATATATATATATATATATATATATGCGCGCACGCGCTCGTGTGTGTACGGAAATAATTTTTTTTTTTTACAATTTCAATTTTATACGTACAAAATCATTTAATTTATATTCATACGACATGTAATTACATGTCAATTTATTTACTTATATGGTTATAATATATATTCTTTCACAATTATATTTATATAATGTCATACAGTCTCAGTAATATGGTACTTTTAGATAATTTTTATTTCTATACTAAGGCCTCATTATATATATTTGGAAATATATATTAACATTATTAATTATTTTATAATATTTTTTTCCCCAATTATTCATTACATAATTTTTAAGTTAATAATTTAGATTACGAAAAGTTTTTCAAAATAAATCTTGAAAATAAAGTTTATTGATCCTATTTCTAAATATATACCTCGTTATCTTTTGGTCTCATATCATTCTGATACATATTTTTAATAAAGAATTTAAATTTTAAATATTTACATTATATTAATATTTTTGTACATATTTCTTCTACATATATTACAATATTTAATAATATTTAAATAATTAATGAATAAATTAATATTAAATTTCATGTAAATCATGATAGACTTTGCATAATAATTTAAGGAAAATTTCTTTTATATTTTTAGTACCAAAACATTTTTTACACATATTGAATTAATTCTATTTTTAATGAGCTTAATGTATTGTAAGAATCAAAAACATAAAATTGTTTCAATACTAATTTGTAAATCATTATTTGAATAATAAATAATAAATAATAAAACCTAACAGATTTATAGTTTTAGATGGTTTTTATCATGGTATTTTTTTCTACAAATTTAAAAGTTTTTCAATGTTTTATGTTTATAGCAAATAAAATAAAGATAGTAACAAGTATAATTAAATCATACAATCAGACATTTGAAGAACTATTGGATATTAAATTTCTTCATTAGATATATATTGTATTAAATATTATATAAATACAATTAAATATATTAACGCGAAAATATAAAATTGTCATTTACAGTTGTTCGATATATTTATTTTTTCAACATTGTGTTTAATTTTCATAATTTATTAAGTAACAACTTGATTTTTGTTTTTTTTTTATTTTACTTTATTTTTTTTTTTTTTTTTTTTTTTTTTTTTTTTTTTTTTTTTTATTATTATTAAATCTATTTAGAAATATTAACTTAAAAGAATTGTTAAAGTATTTATTTAAAAAATTATAACGAAGTGAAACAATAGCAGATGATATGATATTTATATTTAGAAACTACGTAAAAATTAATATGTTGTGAAAGTGACACGATATAATGTTTTAACTATTATATTAATTTGTATTTTTAAGTAAGTCATACATAAATGATTACATATTCGAGATGCTTTTATGATTAATATTAGGAAAGAAATTTTATTTAATTAATTCATAAACTTATATTATACTTCTTTATATTTATGAAATTTTGTATAAAGTTATCTTACAAAAATTATCTAAACATATCTAATATTTTTTTTTTTTTTTTTTTTTTTTTTTTTTACAAATTAAATTAACTGAAAGTATTCTTACACGATTTTCTTTGTAATATTGTGTCATTGGTATATAATATGGTTTGTTATTTAGCATGAAAAGTTGTTATTTTACATCGATTCATCGAACGTATTAACCGTGTATTTAGCATAAAAAACTTTAGTTTCTACGACGATTTAAGCTTAAAACTGCAATATTTTGTCATATTGATTACATTACAATTACAGAAGAAAATTGCAATTAACATATATTATTAAAAATTCAATTATTTATGGAATAATATGTTAAGTGTTATTTACCATTAATTATATACAATTATTTGTATATGTTAATTCGAATAAAAAATAAATAATATATATATATATATATATATACAATTATCAAATACACATACCTATAACATAGCTTGTTGCTACGATATTTTTCAAATATATATATATATATATACATGCGTAGCCACATGCACGCACGCACACAGACACACCCGAATACATATATATATATATATATATATATATATATTTTTTTTTTTTTTTCATACATACGCGTACTTTAAAATGTGATAGATATAACGTATTTTCAACATTCCAGGTTAAATATTGTTTGCCAGTAATTTATATAATACCTGAATAATAAATTATATCTTAGCGAAGATAGCGATATTATCTTTATTTTAAATTAATTAATTTTTAATTATATGCGCATTAAGTGAAAAATAAAAGACCCAAGCTTTCAATAAATAGAAGTGAAACTTATTATAGCGCAAATTCAGGCGATTAATGAAAAATTGACGCACTTTGCAGAGCCCAAGGATTATACTTGCGCAGTTCCGCGAAGTATATCTTGCTGTCCCTTATGCATTCGTTGGAAGCTCCTTCAGTGGGTGCAAATGGTCTTGCTAGGAGATCCAAGAGAATATTCTCCGGCCGAGAAATTGTAGACACCGCGTCCACGATTTCCCAAGCGAAGATCAAAATGACCAAGGTTCTCCTCCAATGCTTCATTTTTACCTTTTGTCGTATTTCTCTTCACATGCAAAATGCCAATGCAAATGCTTCCAATGCCCAATACCTTAGCAATTACAGTACATTTTGACTTTATTTCTTATCAGATCTTCCTTCTTAAAAATCTCGTCGCAATATTCCCAAACGAATAGATCAATATTTTTTATACTAGAAAAATTAAGTCTGCAGTTAGATCACGTAAGACGTTTGCAGACCACGTGTCCCGTGTCGATATCCCCACGAGTGATTGAGATAACAACGAGGAGCGACAAGACGCAGACTGTCAGCCAACAATAATTGCTCGTTCCTTTATATACATGGCGAGTCGCTGCTGCTGTTGTGTCTTGATAGATGGAAGTAGAGAGCAGAGTTCGGCTACAACGAAAATGAATCGGACCGATCGGTAGATAAATTACGCGCGGTAAGCAATGCATTGTAAGACAAAGAAAAAGTAATGAAAGCAACGATAGTATAAGGCTTTTCATTATAATATAAAGAATTAGTGGCCGAAACGTTGGCCGAACATATTATTGTATCGCGTTACCATTAATATGCCTATAATAGTTTATATATTATCCTTCCATAGGAATTGAAGGATGCAATAATGGAGGAGTTTAAAAGATATTTTTAATTATCATTAGAATGCAGAGCCGATGCGTACGATCAAATCATATAAGTTATTTGCAAAATGGTGTATTGATGTGCTGATGTTAGTTTAGTATCTTTTTGATAAAAACAATACTGATATGCCAATATTGAAAAATCATCACGTTATTACCTGATTATCCATCTGAAATCTGACATAGTATTAATTAAGATTTCCTATAATACTATCGACGGAACATTAATATTGTATTAATTTTTATAATTTTTCATTTTTATACTGCATTTATGTTTCATTTTAAATTGTACGTAATTGAATTAAGAAAAATTGACAATATAGTTTATTTTAATAAATAAATAAAAACACATAAGAAAATATTAAAATTTTTGAAAAATTTATACGATTTATATATTTATTTATACAATATACAATAATTTGGAGATAAAATTATTTTTACAATAAATTATATTCTCGATATATATTTTGTAATAAATCGTTGCTTATAAGCTTTGGAAATTATGAGATTCGAATATTAGATAAAAATTCGAGATTTAGAGCAGGTAGAGTGGAAAAGTCGAATAAATAACGAATGAGTTACAAATACAATGAATTACAGATTATTATTTAATTAATAGATAGTTAATAATAATAAACATGGGAGAAAATCATACAGAATAAAATGAAAAGATTAATTATACAATCTATATACAATATTATTATAAAAAGATTATTATAACATTATAAAAACAAAATTTACATTTATAAATATTAAATATCAAATGTATATACATAATGGAATATATTGACTACTATAATAATTGTATGGAAAAATGAAAAATAAAAAATTTTTCAAATGTAAAAAATGTTATTTATTCAACCGATAACTTTATGTAACCCAATTATTAAAATTTTTTATCAGTACAGATTCTTTCGAAATTGAAATATTATTAAAAAAATTTGAATCACTTATGTATTTATGTTTTGCTTATTATTATTATTATTATTATTATTATTATTATCTTTTTTGTTTTCAATAAAGATTCTATAAATTGACACGAGAATATTTTCAATAAATTTGCACAAAAAATTAGATATTATTATTATTATTATTATTATTATTATTATTATTATTATTATTATTATTCATTTATTTATTTATTTATTTATTTATTATTTTTTTAACATCAGGTAATTGTAATTTCAAATTAATATTATTAATTCGATATTATTCATTATCCGTATAATTAGTTCTCAATGCCATAAATTAATAGAATAGTTTAATTTTAGTTTTTTGATAATAATACTAAAATAATTATACTTCAATCGAGCATTACAATCTTAATTTCTTCACACGTGATGGCAATCTAAAGTTTATTTTTAATTTTGTTATGTAATTATATAATTTATTTTAAATTATTGAGAATTGTGTTTTTTTATATTAATTAAATTTTAATTTTAAAAATTAGTACAGTATGTTTGAAAATATAATTTTTTTTTTAAACAAAAAATTTTTGTTCTTCAACGAGAATTAACATAACGATACTTTCATGTTACATAAAAAGGTATTATTTTACAACAAACATATTATTCTTATCTAAATTGTATTTATGAATTTCGCTGGATTTTTATTATGATATGCAGTACAATTGTATAAAGAAATTTTTGTTCAATCTGATGAAAAAATTAAGCATATTATCGAAGAAATGTTCATTTGCTTAACCAAAACTCTTTAATGTTTAAATCAAACTATTACCTTAATTGTCTAGAAAATTCTAACCATTTATTAATTATCAATGTGAAAGACACGGAAAACGTAATTGTAATTATTTCTGCACTTTTTACTAATAATAGAATACATCTCGTCCCATTGACGAATTTTATAACACACAATCTTATCGGATTCTAGGAATAAAAATATATACATATTTCTTTTCCTTAACTGTCAATGATATATCAATTAATCACTTGGCGTTATCTTGACAGTCTTTATTAGATTAAAACTTTTTATTTCTATCAATACATATTAATTACAAATTACTCGATTTTAGCTAAGCTCTTTCTAAAACGTAAAATAATATTTCATTTCTTCAACAAATATCGATAGGAATAAAATACTATTACATTTATTGGCTTTGTTTGAATGTGCAAGTCTAATGGTAAGATTCATTTTAATGGAAGTACGTTAGAAATTAAATATAAATGAGAAGTAAATAATCAGACGGAATAGCGAATTATTTTATAGGCACCAGTAAAAGTAAAAATATTTCTTCTAATATGATAGGGAAAATGTTGATATACATAATTCACGGAGTGTCTTATTCATATTCCAATAAATAATAAATTCTTGAATTTATGAAATATTAATTATTACAACGGCATTATTAAATAGTCCCACTGAATTAGAAATGGTTTGTAATAATTAAAAATACTGATTGCTATATTTAACGAGCTACTTACCAGACTGTTGTGAAATTTTGAAAATTACAAGCTTGCAATAGGTCAATAACCTATTGAGGCAAAAGGTACAATTAAATCTTAGTTTATACTTTGCAGATTTCTATTTAATAATTATCGAATGGTTTTTATAATATAATTGAAATTAAAAATTTAACAACAGTTTTAATATAGTTAATGGACATTGAATTAATTTTTATAACTAATTAGTAGGTGACGTTTTATGTTTAATGATTCAATATCTATTACGATTACAAAGTTGTGGAAAATTATGTAAAACATATTGTAAAATAATATTTACAGATAATGTTTTAAGGGGAAATAAAAATCCATAGATATGGTAAAAAAAAAGAAAGAATAGCAAAGATGATAGAGAAGAGAGAAAGTATGTGAGGAATATGAACTAAATGTTCAAGAAATGTACGTAAAACTTATTTACAAATTATGTTAACGGTTAATGTGATCTCTTAATAATAATAATATTTTTATTATCAGTTTTAGTTTAAAATAAGCCAGGAACTATGATATTCTTCAATTCAATACCACTGAGAGGTTAATTAATTAAGTCTGTCATTGTCTATAATGGCGCCTAAATATTTATCTGTCTCTTTCTAATGCCGAGATTCTGAGTTAGGAAACCATCTTCAACGATTATTAAATGAAAAAATTGAAAAAGGGAAATAAATGACTTCCCTTTGTAAATTGGCGATAATTTAAAAAATATAATAATTATTATAAAGCCTAATATTCTTAAATTCATTTACATTATTTTAAGAAAGAACTGTCAGAAAAGATTATTACATTGTTCCAGCGACTTACTCAATCATTGTATTATTATGACTATTATTATTATTCTTTTAACTAGTTAAATTACAAAAATATTGATTTTTCTCTGTAGGATAATTAAATATACTTTATATTATCTGATTAAACTATTGGTATATTATGAAGAATTTTTATATAAACGAGTTATATCATTATCAATTATATGAATAAGATTTTGTTTTTTTTATTTTTATATATAATTATAATATTTCAATGGATTACGAATATGTGTGTGTATCATCTTTTGTCTCTATTGTCAGGTACAAAATAATATTATCTAATGTTATTAAAGAACAAATACAGATGTTATTTAAAGTTAGATAACTTCATTTCTGTTATATCTAACATTTTGAAATGTTAAGTAGTTGTAAGATATTCTGTTTTGTCATTATTATCATCCTATAAACATTGGAACTCACGTGTATTATAATCTTATAAATCATATAAATATTCAAATTCACTTTTATGATGGACGAGGATGAAAATTTTTGTGACCATAGTGATCAAATGTAGATAGACAACAATTATTATTTGATTTATTCTTATAGACTCACTCCTATTGTTTATTGTTTGTAAAATTATCGATTATAATTGACGTATTAGCATAAGCTCGTCTTTGCAGAATGATTTTGTTACTTTTACTTGATTAAAAATTTTGCAATGGCATTGCCTGAGTTTTGAATTCCAATGTGTCATTTTATAATTAACGAGATTAATAATTGCCTTTAATAAATAATAAATGCTAATTATTATGAAGTGATTAGAAGATAAAAAAAAAAATGAAAAGAATATTTTTAAAATATGTTTACAATTAACTTATAAAATGTACGTTAAATAATTAAATAAAATATATTGTTATAAATACTTAAAACGTCAAAAAAATATCGCCTAGAAAAATAGTGTGTTTATATTCTATTTAATTTAATTTTTTTTTTTTTTTTTGTAGTCATAAAGCACATTTATGTAAATATATATATATATATATATATATATATATGTATGTATGTATGTATGTATGTATGTATGTATGTATGTATGTATGTATGTATGTATGTATGTATGTATGTATGTATGTATGTATGTATGTATGTATGTATGTATGTATGTATGTATGTATGTATGTATGTATGTATGTATGACGTTATTTTATATTCTTTATGTAAATATATTTTATGCTTGCTATAAATACAATGCCAATAGTAATTTACAAAATTTAATACAAAAACTCAACTGAAGAAAATGTTATTTGGTAAAACAAACAATAAAGATATAAATTATATGACTTGTGATTATATAAGTAATATAAGTTTTGTAATTTTCGTGATAAATTAAATATAGTAATAGAAATAATAATAATAATAATAAAAAAAAAGGTTACTTATTGTCTTTCACAAATTTTAAACAAACATTTTTTTTCTCTATATAAAATTTAAGGTATGCCATCTAATTGCATCATTTTCTTGCTCACAGTATGCAGCGTGAATTGCTGATTTTTTTGCTTCAAGCCATAATATTTTGTAAGTAATAAAAGGTATCTCGCATTTGTTACGATAAAGTCCGCGATAAAAGAGCTTTTTAATAGCCGTGGAAGCAAATCGTCGATAGTCGTTAAATCTTATATTCTTAGTGGAATAAAATTTTCATCTTTCCTCAGATAACCATCATGGATTTGCAATTTCCAAAGCGCTGATTGGATCCAATATTCGTGCGGCGTACGATAACGAATTCCCTTCCGTCGTATGTATTGTCAGGAACGAAGTAAGCCCAGAACGTTACGCAGAGTATCTCACATGCACCGGCACACTAATATCGAGACAGCACGTTATAACGGCTGCACACTGTATGGATGTTTTTTCCCAATCGGTTTCGTTGGTTGTTTATGGTTCGGTTGATGTGAGACATGGCAGACGATTGCCCGTGGCCTGGTGGATATCCTACATGCAATGGTCGACGTCAATTGGCCTGGATATTCCACCCTCTGCCTACATATACAGCGATATATCTGTGATAAAGGTAAGTTATTAATTGAATGGATGAATTTGTCGAGGGAAATATCTTGGAAAAAAATAATCCTAGGCGTCGGCCATTAAGTAAGCAATTGGTAACGTATTGTATTTATCAACCTACCTACGTAAATGTCCTGTATGATATTTTGTTGAAAGAGTTTGGCAAAAGAAGGGGAACAATAAAGAAAAAATAAATAAACAAATAAATAAATAAATAAAAATTAAGGAGAAAAATGTTTTTAAAGCTAACTTCAGAGGTGGATAGACGTATAAATCCATCGAATCTTTCTCCCATGGCACAAAATCGATTGATGGGCCATACGTTTGTGATGGCAGGATGCGGCGAAGCGAATCATGGAATGTTCCCGACGAATATAGAGAGAGCGGAAGTAACAAGTATTTCCAATCGCGAATGTGAGCAACGAGCTACTGAAATTCAAGGATGGTTCGTTGCTATAAGCGATTCGAATTTCTGCTCCGTCGCAGATCCTTTTGTCTTAACGAGTCCCGTAAGAATGAATATTTTTGCATATATATATTTCTATAAATATTAACAATCACTTATTTGCCAATGGATTCGTGTATATTGTTCATTTAAAATTAACTCTCTTTAAAATTATGCTCGATTATATGCTATGCTCGAATTGCCAATCAATGCCTTCATCTACAAACTATTGTATAAAAAGTTCCAAAGTACACTTCTTTTTTTTCTTTTTCATAATGTAATGCTCTAAAGTTCCGGTTAATTGTACGATCGACAGATGCCCTACAGAATTCCTATTCGCGGTAACTTGTCACAGCTTTTGTCGCATGTACTGCGCCAGCATTATAAAATCGGCAGAAGCCATAAATGGATTTACGATGCCATACCAAAGCTAATACTTTAAATGAGTTAATTTGTTTAATACTTTTATTTCCGTATAAATTCGAAAATAAGCCAATAATATTTAATAAGCTAGTTGGGCATTTTGTCGACAGCACAATGATCGAGTTAAGAAAATATTAGATATCGATCTATCGATTGATGTTAAATAAGCTTAATAATAGATCAATTACTACTTATAAGTTTCGCGTTAGAAACTCATAATGCATCGACAAACGATCGGTTCACACCGATTTCTTTCCCATTACGATGTAAACGAATCAACCTCATTCCCTTCCGTGTATCGCTATGCTTTTATAGATTACAGTCGATCTGTAATGTCGAGGTAAATCGTTTCCCACGAGAACACGACACACTGGCTTTTAACGCTTCACTTTACTTCACACCCTTACTTCATCCCCCATTACATATTCGCCTTCCGACATTGTAGCTTCACAAAAACACACGACCACATCATTAATTACTTAAACTAAATTTGATGCGCGCTACTTTTTATGACTCGAGGAGCTTTATATCTTTATAGCTTTATAGCTTTATAGCCTGTTTTATTTATCGTCCCGTAATATCCGTAATATTCGGCGCTCTTTCAAACCGGATCGGACTGTCCATGACATTAACGCTAATGAGATTATTAATGCCATCGAATCGTTTCCTCCGAGAACTTTCACCGCTACGTCTTCTGTACTCTACGTGTTGCGATACATCCGGAATTGACGCGTTGTTAACGCGAGTCTGCGATTTCTTACTAGCGTTACGAGCTTTTTCTTTCCAAAATATCCGAAATATCACTGGAGAACATACAACTTCGTCCGGGACACTGCGATTCCTAACGATATGCCAATCGACGTTTTTAGCACTTTTCTCTCATTGACTGTAATCGATCCACGCAAACACATCACACACACTTGCACCACTCAGAGCGTCAGACAATTCTAAACATATTTTTATATATATCCATTTCCATTTTGGAACTGTTCAACTTTGCATTAATATGATCATCCACGTAGCTTCCTTTCATTACACATATTATTATTCTTTCGTGGACACATGCAACTCCACAATGTTCTATAAATTTTTCATAATTTCGAAATACTTGTGTACTCTTGGTTAACCAACTATCCTTTTTTTTTTTTTAATACATACGATTATAAACAAATACCAATATTACCTTACACATTTAACAATGATTATTATTCTATTATTTCATGTAGGTATTCAGAACGATGTGTATATATATATTTTTTTTTTTTTTTTTTTTTTTTTTTTTTTTTTTGTTATTATCTTGTTTTGTCTTCAAGTAGACAAATTGTAATTTAGATGAATCTATAAAATGCACATATTTCACGATTGTATGATTTTTAGGGTGACAGTGGTGGTCCACTTTTACATAGAAATTTTATTGTTGCTGTTAATATTGGACCTTATCCCGATCTGCATAGCAATTATCATGCACGTCAAGCAAACTATCACGTTGGAATCGATCACTATAGACACTATATTAGTGTTATGTTACAAGAATAATATAAAATATCTTACAGAAAGAAAAGAAAAAAGAAAAAACAAAAAATAGAATGTACATGTAAATATATTCGTGTAATGAAATAAAATGAATTAAAATGATTGATTGAAACCTTAACATCAAGTGTTACATTTTCTTTCATACCTTAACTACTACTCAATACTAAAATGAAGAAAAACTTTTTGTAAGAATATAAAGATTTCATATTAATTTCCACCAATACGTAATATTATTAATAATTGACATAGTGCTCGTAGTAGTGTTAAATCTGAATTCCCGATGCTGAAAATAAGAGAATTTTCATTTCGTATGGCATTACGTACGGTAGGTACGGCTTTTATAAGCATTCAACGCAGTTTAAGAGATTCTCTGCAGACATTAGGCGTTACATTCACTATTTAAGTACCTATTAACTTTATTTGTGGGTTTTTTTTTTCCTTTTTTTTTTTTTTGTTAGATGTAATAGAGAGCTACATTTATTGCATTGCGCGACTACGATCGACAAATACGAATATTTTCATTCGCATTTCAATTAATTTTATGACATAACGTTATGCCATCCAATGTTGTATATTGTTGTCTATTTTTATTAATAAACTGCATGATAAAAGCAAAACATTTCAAAACCAATTTATTTAGATTATAATATGATTTTTATGAAATATACCATTTTATATATAATATCCGTTATGAATTTATGAAAATGTCAAACTGAAATTATATGTAAATGTATTAGAATGTATGAGATTGTTTATAAATTATGTATTTATGAATAAATTACTGATTCTTATATAAGAAAATTATTACATACGTAAATATGTACAATTTTTTTTATATATACAAATTAAAGAGATACAGCAAGAAAAGTATATCATTGTAGAATTTTGTAAGTTAATTTTTTTTTTTTTTTTTTCTTTTTTTTTTATGTAGTTAATACAAATGACGGGAGTATTAATCCTCAGAAAAAGATTAAGAAAATATAAATAAGAATTGTATTTATCTAGATCATTATTCACACAGAATATTCCCTGAATTGTCATTAACAAGTGGACAAATTTAAGCTAAAATTTCATTCTATATATACTAGGAAATTATCAAGTATGCGAGAACTATTATGACTTATTGTATCGCAATTATTATTCTATCATAATTATCATAGTTAAATTATCAAAATTAATTTAAACAATACCTTTTTAACGTCTTATCAAAAGTTTCTTGAAACTATTTAGCGTAATAAAATAGTTGACTGGTAAAGGGATATCAACAATTCAGGAATGTATTAACATTTTAATTTAATACATTAATAATTAATATACATTACGAATAAATACTTTGTAAATTCGTTTAAATTTTAAGATTTAATATATATATATATATATATATATATATATATGTATGTAAGTAATAGGTGACCAACATTACCACTTAAGTACGATTATTTTCCTCATTTAACGAATTAATATATTTTAGAAATTTTAACTTCATGAATATTATTAATTAAATATGAAAATAATTGTCATTAATATAAAAATATAAATGTACTCTTATTTCAACTTTTCCTTCATTTCATTCTCACTTGAGCTCTTTTCAATAAAAAGAAGTCAATAAAAACTTTACGAGATTTATGTACGGAATAGTGTTATAGAATTTAAATACTATGCACGAGTTACAGAATTGCCTTATAAAATATTAATATTTAGACTTTTATCTTTCATATAAGTAAAGTTTTATTTCTTACGCTTAGACAATAGGCAAACCTTTTCCGTCTTTACAATTTAATAAATAAGACTTTTCATGCTGATAACAAACTTTTAGCATTGACACTCTAAATAGCGTATTTATGTAGATATATATTTTTTTTTCTTTCTAAATTTTATAAATCACACATAGTATAAAAAAAGTAATAAAATAATTATATAGTTTCAAACAGTAATAATTACACTACACTGCTGTCGAAGCTTTACACAGTAAAGAACTTGCATTATTAAAAATTGATGGACAATTTGATTACTATTAGACGAATTTCTATTGCCGAGAAATTAAATGAGATTTTTTTCGCAGTTCTAAATGTACGATTTAATGTTTCTTTAAGAATGTTGAAATTAAAAATGTCTTGATCTCTTTAATGATACGCTTCAAGACAATTTAATATAATTATAGTTCAAAAATAATACAATGTATAAAACGATACGTATTAATAAGGTTGTCGATATAAATATTACAGTTTCTTCTATCGAGTGAAATTTCTTCATCAGAGTATTTGAAAACGACTGTTCGATCTTGCATTGATAAAAAAAAATTTTTCCTTTCTTTTTCAGATTCTTCTATCGAGTGACACTTGTTCGGAGTAGTTGAAAACAACTGTTCATTCTTGCCTGAATAAAAATCTTATTAATTTTGTTAATTTACTTAAATCATTATGATTACAGAAGAGAGCAATATTGATAAAAAATTGAGCGTAGATGAATTATTTAAGCTCAATAAGTTCTTTTTAAGCGTTATTGGTATGTATCCGCCTGAATATAAAAGAACGCCATTGTTCAGCGCCATCAAGTTCTACTTTTCTATAGTTGTTGATATTGGGTTCGTCATTCTGCAATTAGCGGGTATTATATTAATGTCAAGCAGCTCCGTATCTATGCCTGAGTAATTTTTCAAAATAAATATTCATCTAGTTTTGTAATAATTTTAAGTTTTTTCTATACGTTAAAGTAGATCCAAAATTATATCAATAGATAAGCCATGTATTTTATAATCATTATTATTATTTTTTTTCGTACTGTTTTATCCTTACAAGTGCAAATTATGAGTATAACTGTATAAAGAATTTTGTGAAAAAGCAGAAAGATATTTTTGAGTGTTGAGTTTATTGAAATACTCATATAAACAATAAGTTTTGTAAGAAGATAAAATGTCTTAAATATATTAAACCGAGAAGTAATTATATTAATTGAAACGACGCTGTTGCATAATAATTTCAAGCGATGGAGGGCTTAAATTTTATTTACACTTTATTAATGTAAATATCTATTTAACTTAAGTTCTATGGATTTGTATTTGTGATTTACATGAGCAAGAAAATCTTTTTGCCTCTTACTGCACATTTAAGCCTCGACGTTTGCAATATTACGAATTTACATTATAAATTGGCTTCTTAGAAATATTTTTAACAATAAGTTATCATTGCCATGATATAAATCGTCTTATGAGGTAAAATCTTCCCTCGGATTCCTATTTACGATCTAAAGTTTATTTAAGCTTAATTATCGTCTCCATCTATCTACACGGACGTATTTATTAAATAATATTACTATACATGAGCACATTATTCAGTGTTTACATTGTTCAATGAATGTAATTGTATTTGTAAAATGTTTCTTTTGTTTATCTTTTTGAGAGTCACCAATTATATGATTGATTTGAGTGGCTTCATATTAACGGTCCTTAAATCATATGCGTTAATAAATAGGTAATAATCCATACAATGTTGGACGTATTATTGTTCTATATTAAAAGTGCAAAGAAAATAAAAGAAATTAATGCCTTTTATAGAAAAAAGATAATGAAAATGATTGAGGAGGCGAGAAAGTTCGATCAGTTAATATACACTGAGGATGAGCAGAAAGTCTTACGGGTTTGGAAGACCAACCGGAATAGAATAGTAAAGATACTCACAAGCAATTATATCATTTTGACAGTTTTCTATTTTGTTGTCGTGCTATTTACAAAAGATAAATTGCTTCCGTTTAAATTAATATTTAAACCGAATACTATATTTACTCCTTGGTAAATATTTTCTTTTAATACTATGAGCAAATGATAATTTTCTTTTTAATCGCGTAGGTATGAAGTAGCTTATATACTCGAGCTTGTGTTCTTTATGTGTGGTATGAGCGCTATGATAGCCACTGATACGCTCTGCGTGACTTTTATTTGTCAGACATGTATGCATCTTAAGATTGTAGAAGTCATGCTCAAGAATTGTGATAAAAACAATAAAGGCATAATTGCTATTATCAAGAAGCATGTAGAGATATTGGAATATGGTCGTGACGTTTGCGGAGAATTATCTACTAGTATTTTATGCCAGTATATTACTATGTTCTTTATAACATGCTTTGCAACTTTTACATGCCAATTAGTAAGTATTGTCAACAATAATTCATTTTTACTTTTAGCGATTTAGCTGAAAATTATGAACAGGGTCGTGTGGATAAAGTATTGGCTAAAATTGGTTCAAGGCGAAATCAAGAAATCGTTTGTAATTTTTTACTCACCTTATTTATTACCTATCCAATACATTTTCGAAACTTATTTTATACGGAGAATGATAATTTTTTTTAGGAAAAAAATGTGATATAATCGGTATCATAATTCATATACATATATATCCTTATTTTTAGTATATCTACGGGCAAACAATAGTGCAGAAACGGGAGAATTGGAACTGCATAAATGTCGTCGCTTTGGACTCGATTGCCGAACTTTGCCGCCCAATTCACCTTATTTGATTTATTAATTTATTCGACTAGCCATTGGTTTTCATTTTTGCGGCCCTTCCTGTTGCCATTAATTTTCTTCGCGAAAAATATTATCAGACCCTTATGAGAATGTCAATAACATTTCAATCTACTCATTATTCCTATTCTCGATTTTATTTTAATTCAATCTCTCATAAATATTTGAATGCATATTATAGATGTCCAAGGACTCTGTAGATAACATCTGTTTATCGACATAATGATAATTTACATTATGTACATTATGTTAAGGATTTTTTGTTTTATTGCAATGATATCCATTGAGATAATGCTTGGAAAAATTTCAAAGCGTAAAAAAAATCGATAGTTATTTTACGAGGATTCGGTCATCAAAGGTCTGAAAATGCGATTTACCGAAGATAATGTTCATTTATTTATCCACATAAAGCAAAGTATTGCCTCGTATTCTAATGCCAACGAGTTTTTTTATTTTTTTTGATTATTTTTTTTAATGATCCTTCGAAGAACTGTATTGATTAGGATTTCTATTGATATTGCATATAGTATAATATAAATAAGTATAAATATTGACGATTGTAATAAAATTATAAATAAAAAAGATAAATTTATTATCTTAATTATAGTAATTATATCAATATAATATTATATTAAGATAAATTGTAAGATATATTAAGATCTCGTTGTATAATAATAGTAAAATTGAAATCCACATAGTTTCAATTTATAAATAATATGAATGATATGAATGACTCCTTGCATAATTATAATAGACTTTTGCATTCGCTGTAAAAATTTCGTAATATCAAGATCTGAACAATAGTATTGTAAGACTTATACATTTTGTTATTTGATAAATTTATAAAATGCATTTGATTTATGAGAAATTAAAAAAAAAAATAGAAAGAAAGAAAAAAAAAACAATTACAATAAGATAAGATTATTATTGATAAAAATTTGAAAATTCAGATTTCAATTCAGTTCAGAAAGTTACAAAACAAAAAAGACGTTAAACAATGCATTTTCTTCTTAAATCTAACTTACTTTATAAGCTTACATTTACTACCATACATTTCTATTTCTATTTCAGACGACTATACCAGCTATGAGAAATAAAATGATATGGGTCTCGTTGATGATATATTTTTTGTTTCTTATCACTTGCGTAGCAGGAGAACTGGTAACATCGATCAGTGAAAATATTGCAATCAGTCTGGCGCAAAGTAAATTCGTCAGTTACGACGAAAAGGAAGAGACTCGTGATATTAATAATATGATCGTGTTTATAATAATGAGAGCCCAACAGCCACTGAAATTAAAAGTCGGTACTTATGGTAGAATAAATTTACAATTCTACACTTCCACTTTTAAAAACATCTATTCTGTTATTATGCTGTTAAAAACTGTATATAACTAAATGAGTTGCATCTATATAGTAAATCATGTATTATAAAATTTCACATTTAACCTTTCAGTGAATATCAATAAAATTATTGAATATTTATTTTAATTGTTATTTGTGATTTTTTTTTTTTTTTTTTTTTTTTAATAAAAAATTTTTAATTTTTTTTTTTTTTTTTTTTTTTTTTTTTAAAAAAAAAAAAAAAAAAAAAAAAAAAAAAAAAAAAAAAAATCCATTTAATAACACTGATAACATCAAAGGTTCAATTAAATCAAATGAAATATTGAATAATATTTCAACACAGTCAATGTAATAGATAAATACATTTCTATTAATTTACCAAACATATTATTATTATTACTGTCATCTGTATATCACTACCACTACCACCACCACCTCAACCATCATAAGCATCATTTTTATTATTAATATTAATGTTATTGTTATTATTGTTACACAGAGCAGAATAATTTGTCGGGCATCTATTGTGTAATTCGATGATAGATGGATATGTTCGTCTATCGACACTCTGGTTAACGATTTTAAGTAAAACTATCGTTATTGTTCAATCGCTTCAGCCCATTATACATTAATAATAAAGAAGTACATACTTGCGCACAGCGAGTCTAATCGATTTTTATTGATATTACGGCGCACATTATTATCTTTCGGCACTGTATTTAGTAGAAAACAATGCATTTATAACGTTACAATTACAATTTTTTTTAATACTTTAAGAGTATTCTTACAGATTATTATTTATTTTATAGTAAAAAAAAAAAAATAAATAAATAAATAAATAAAATAAACTTATCTGTATACTTTGGCATAAAATAGATTTTTTTATAATATTTTAAATAATTGTATTTTATTGAACGATGGTTGTACAAGGTTTTTATTGAAAATTGTATGAGATAGTAAATTATTTAGTATGTAAATATTCCAGATCATATAAAAACATTCAAATAACTACAAACTTTTATTAAAACTATTAAAATGCCAGATTCAGCATATTTGAAATATGGAAAAGTAATTAAATAAATATATAGTCTCAAATAATAAATACACCACACTGCTAACGAAGCTTTATACAGAGCTTTATTTATTAATAATTAATTGACAGTTTAATTACTTTTATATCAATTGCAACTCTCGAGAAATCAAATCAGATATTTTTGCAATTTTAAGTGTACTAATTAAAATTCACTTGTGAATGTTGAAATTAACTATTTCTCTATCCCTTATAGTTGAAATTATCAAAAGATACTCATTAATGAAGTCATTTTAACTCAATATTTTAATATCATAATTCAATAGTTCTATTTCAAGTTCTATAAATTTGTATTTATGATATTGAGTAGGAAGGAAATCTTTACATGCAATTCTATAATTTTGACACTTTTGCATCTCTATTGAATTGTATCAACAAATCATTTATTAAATTAAGACCTATTAATAATTTATAAATTGTTTATTTTGTCTATTTTCTCGATTCTGCTTTTATCAACCGTTGTATGGACATGCAAAGATATCGAAATAAAATGGTAAGATTCGGCAATGTTTTAACCTCGTTTATTTTCCAATTTATTTTCCATCCAACTCTTTGACAATTTAAATATAATGTTTAAATACAAGTTATTTTTTATATTTCTGATATTATATTTAATTGTCATTCATTTTCTCTAGTTTATTCACCAAGTAGATACTTAGATGTTTTTGTTTTAACAGGGAATTTTATAATGGTATTCGTTTTCGAATAATTTCTAAATTAACACACTGACTGATTCTTCTATATAAATTTTGAAAATCTTTTCTCAAATGGCAAATCGATAATTAAATTTCATATTCTATGGATATTTAAAGCGATACGACAGTTTAATTTTTTTGTTTTTTTTTTTTCAAGTCCATCTCAATTAGTATTTTCGAATTTCTTCTGAGCATATCTTGCATATTGTCACTTTGAGCTTAAACAATCGTTTATAGTGGACGAGTAACTTTTATCGGATTTTTCTGAGCGAAATATTCTAGGAAGAATTTTTCTTCGTACGTGTTATCTAAACTATCCCAAAATACATTATATATATATATTCTCTTATTTATTTATAATACCTTTTTTTATTATGAAATATTCGATAATTGAGAAATATAGACTACCACTTTTCTTGATATAGAATAATAATTGTCATGGGATGACACCAATACCATAGTGTCATTTGACTTATATGGCAGACAGTATTTGCCTAATTTCGCATAATTTATTATTAATTTACTGTACTTTTAAATTCGTCTACACATCATTTTTTAACTTATTCATATTATTTATTATTTAGATATATATATATATATATATATATATATATATATATGAGCTTTTTTTATTATATAAACTTATTAATTAAATACATGAATTATTTATATTTATTTATATTTATGCATTGAGGTTGCACAATAGAAACAATATTGATCTATCTGACGCCGATGATCAATTTACGAATTCTATCAATTAGCATTACGCGGATGGTTTTTAAAGCGATAAAGTTTATTAGATTTTTGTTTTCGATAAACAAATAATAATTTTAAATATATTTATTTATTTTAAATGATCGGAATATTTGATTATTATATGGCATGATTTTAAGTCAATAGCTATAAATATTTTGCTCAACTAAATTGTCAACATGTTTTTTTTCCCTCAGCTGCGAGGATTTGATTTAATTTTCTTCTTGCAAACCGTTTGCTACAATTAAAAATTGTAAGAGAAATTTTCTATTCCCAATAGTATATAATGCGATTTACGTTACTTCATTCATTAAAACACATAACATTAAGTTTCATTTACTTCTTTACTTATCTAGACTTGTATTAAATATGAAAGCTATCGCATATTCTCCGATCAATTAATTATTTACAAAGTAATAAGACTACAGACTAGATTTCTTTACAGCATCAGTTTTCAATAAACAGGATAATATTCTGTCTCATAAATATTATCAATAAACTTATCGAATATGTTCCGAAAGACTTTACTCTTTGCTGTCGTGTACGTAAAATCCGAGTAAAAGGACAACAAAAATTACTATTATCACAAATTTTTTCTATTGTCATAATTCGGAGATTAAAGTCGCAACGAATATTCCGGCTAATCATTGAAACCAATGAACTTTTTCAATCGGCAGCATCTGAATTTTCTATTTATTGCAATTTATCTAATTAAGGTGACAATCAACTTTCTAATCATCTATGAGATATATCGACGAATTTCCAGCATAAAATTCTTCCTGCAATAATTAAATTATATCAATCTTGTATAAGTAAGTATATACCTAGAAAAATAATATATTGTATTTAGGAGAAACAATACATTGCGTTGTATAGGGAATATATATATATATATATATATATAATATAAGGCATTTTCAGAGTATTATTAAGCTTGACTATTATCGAGGAACGTTAACAATCACAATTGTCATTACAATTTAATAGCCTTCGTGAAAAGAAAAAAAACGATGTATATTATTTATAAATTAATTAATCGCCAATATATATTTACGTGTCATGTGTAATATTGAAGAATTTGTTATGTTCGTGTGTAAAATAAGTGAGAGATATTATTGAATCGTAAGTAAAAAATGAACATTTTCACGACAATGCTCCGTCAATGATCTTTAATAAATTCAATAATCCCTCTTGTATTTACTTACACGGATTTATCCGACAATCGAAGCAAATCACGCCATTTGGTTTTTTGTACATTAATATAGGCATCGAGCGCCACCTGTTTTACTGAATTTTTAAAGACGTCTTTTTAATTTTGGGTTATCAATAATTATTCATATCGTTCGAGATGGGTGTAGTAGAATTTTATATCCTATATTGTAAGAATAAGTAAAGTAAACAATTCTGTGACAACCTAATATCTCAAGCCTTAGTTTCAGGTAGTAACGGATTCATAAATAATATCTAAATATAAAAAATGTAAATTACAAAATGTTCATACAATTTTTAATAAAAATAATAATTGAATCGACAATTTATTTCTTATTACTTGATAAATAAATTTGTTGCGTATTTCTAATTGACGAGAGATACAGACTTTTTTTTTGTATGGGTAAATTTATGTTACGAAAAGTATTAATTTTGAATTATTATTAACGAATTTGTGGCATTTTACGAACGTTAAACGATACAGATTTCGATTCGGTAATTTTTATCTTCGCTTAAGTTGCTTGATTTTTCTTGCCAGAGAGCCAACATATAATGTCATTAGCAAAACAATAACACATATTCTTCTTCAAAGCTTTTATAAGATTATCGAATATTGTCAAAGTATACGCTGCTAATTATTTACACTGCTGTCATTATTTCTTTAGCTTTTGAAGGTTAATCCAATGCTAATTGTGTGTGTAAGTCATAGATTTGTATGCAAATTCAATATTTACATAAAATTCTTATTATTGTTATTGTTGTTGTTGTTGTTGTTGTTGTTGTTGTTGTTATTATTATTATTATTATTATTATTTATAGCGCAAATAAATTTTTGGTAAAGCTTGGCATGAAATGGGCATAAGATTAATGCTATTTTGAATAATATTTTATTAAACGATGGTTGTACAAGTTTTCCATTGAAAATTGTATCAAATTACAAATCATTTAGTCGGTTAGCGATATTCTAGATTTATATAAAAAAAAAAATTCAAATAAAAAAAATAATTAAAATAATACCAATACCACTAATATTAATAAACGAGTCACGTGCTTTAATTCATAGTGCATACACATAATTAGGAGCTTATAATGTCCGGTAATTGCAATCAACTGGTTGCTATACAAGGAATGTTAAAATTTTACCTTTTTTCAAGACAGTAAAATAAAACTTACTCTAAAAAACTTTATTGCATTTGTCATTATTTAATAATATCTATAAGAACAATAATTACTTCTTTACCACTAAGGTAGTTTCTTTAAAATTCATAAAAAATAAAATAATGTTCGTATCTAAAATTACCATCCTAATTGGTGTAAAGTTTTTTCAACGTCTCCAAATACTGCTATTGGATTTTGTTCGCCATTAAACGTATAGACCAGCCCCAATTTTCTATAATGTTCGATAATAGGCATTGTATCTTTAACATAAGTTTGATGTCGCTTCTTTAACGATTCTAAATTATCGTCGCTTCGTCCACTTCCTTTGGCTCCTCTGTGCAAACATCGTGTTGTACATGTTTTTTCGCTGCACTCAATGAACAGAACTCCATCTACATACACGTTATTAGACATTTGCTGAAACAAGCAAAGTATTATTAAAATTTTACCAATATTATTTATTCTCTGACGATTCTTTATAGACTGTTTATTAATAGTTCAAACGTTCGCTTGGCACAATCGACCACGATACCATACAGATTACAATCGATAAGATCTTTAATAGCATCGATTAATCATAAAGACAGTCTTATTTAATATAATATCAATTACTCTATCAAAGCAAAAGTAAAACAAACAGAGGCTTCTCTTAATATTACAATTTTAGATTAATCAAACTACTCTCTGTCATACTTAGCATACATACTCATTCGCTCGCTCGCTCTCTCGCTCTCACTCTACACATGTTTCTATTTTGATAATCTCTACTATACAAGCTCTGCTTAAATAACAGCTTTATTATAAACATAAAATTGCCTCGACAGCCAATTTTAATACCTGATTCCAGCCCTGAAGATTATCTTGATTTCTAGGGAATCCATCGATCAGAAATTTATTGTTCGGAGACTTTGATGTTTGCATCGCTCGGTCCAGCAAACTGCAAGTTATCTCTACGGGTACTATCGTCCCGTTACTGATGTGAGACTCAATGAGCTCTCCATACTGTGAGCCAGGGTCCGCACGTTCCTCTCGCAGCAGATCCCCGGCCGACAGATGCACGTAGCCGTGTTTTTCAATAATATTCTTGCAAACGGTGCCCTTGCCGGCTCCAGGACCACCTAACACGAACAAGACTTTGGGCTTATCTACCGTTGACATTGCCAACGCACGTAAACTACTCAGCATGGAAAACCGTACTGACGATTGCGAGCATTCGAGGTGGAGTTGAAGAGTAGCGAGCCGACTTTTCGCAGCTTAATTATCCGATTATTCACCGAAGCCAAACTCATCAATAACGAACTCTTGACAACATGACCGCCTTTCGGAGCAGCTCTCTCTCTCTTCGCCTCTTGTTTGTGTGCTCTTGTTTTCTTTTTGTTACGTATTTGTAATTGATATTGTTAATCGGGGATAAGTGTGCGGTGACAGTGACGTGAAGTCTTGCGTGGCCAGTGCCGTATGTACCATCGTAGGCTCGCACCACGCGTCCGCGACCACATCGAGAGATGCGCACTCGCTTGCGCAGCGCGACCACCGATGACGTCACGGGACACTCGCTCGCTCGCGTGGCCGTGGTTGACCGGGGGGCTGGGGTGGTGGGGATCGTAAGCCCGGCCGGCTAATCATGACCGCCGTTCGCCTCCCTCTCCTGCCGCTAGGCTCCTTCCCACCGGGTACAACGACGAGCTTACAACGTCGTTACATTGGCGGCTCGGTGGACTGTACCGTGCGCGCGCGAATCCCCACGTAACCTCGTACGGGCAATCGGAGAGCGAAATTCAAAATCGTGGAAACGCGGTCGTTGGCCCCAACTCGTGGCTAATTTATCGCGAGGTTTTGGACAACCGATCGATGATCCTGGTCGTGGCAATATTCGAGGGACCATTGCTTATTGGACATGGGATATGAAGAATTTTACATCCTTGGCTGATCTTTCAAGCGCACATTCCTCCTCTCCCCTACATTCAGGATATCATTTACCTCGGTTGGCTATGACTTTATACTACCAATAGAATCCAAGTTAACATTGTTTTTCTCGGACAAACAAAATCGTAACAAAATATCCTAGCATTATTATCGTCACTTAGATAATCGTTTAATTACGTGAATTAATTAGCTGCGCTATCGTACTCATACGCTATTGTAATCAGCCTTGGGGATGAATGGATTATGATTTATTAATTATCGACGCTGATTTTTTTTTTTTTTTTTTTATAGCAATAATCATATTGCCGAATCGCGGTAGGATGAGTATCGAGCCAAGGCCTTATAAATCCGTGGCGCCCGTTTCACTCTGCGGAATGTAGATAAAAGGAGCCAGACGACCCTTCACGCTCCGCAATTTCTACAATATTGGCATTCAAATTTAGCGGTAAATTTGAAGTTTCGTGCGCGCGCTAGCGCGCCCTACTACGCGTGCATATTTGCTGAAATAACGCAAGTGCAAATTAAAAGAAAGAAAAAAGAAAAGAAGAAAATGAATAAACATTGTATTGAATTGTCGTGTGAAGGAGCGAGGGTAGATGCATAGACGATGTTTATTGTATAGACGAACAATTTCATAAGAATTCAATGGATTTACTCGCAGGCATATAGATTTTTAATGCCGTGAAGAAAACTTATATAAAAAATAAATAATATGTTTATCGCTATTGTGTAATTATAAATGTGTCAATGGAGGAACCTTGGATTTTTTTTTCATCATTATTATTGTGATCTGTGTATTAAAGCACAATTTAAGCCTTTTGCAGTTTCATTAACGCCTGCTAGTAGAAAATTTTTATATCGAATACAATTATTTTAAACATTTTAACTTGAAAGCTTTTTGAAATGTGCAAACAAATTTTCATCGATAAAGGTTCACAGTTCTGCAGTTTTATAGATTAATTAATAATGAATATTACACCTTATAATTGGATATATATATATATTCTCACTCAAAATTATCAGGAATCTAAGTGAACGAGTGACTTAAATCATACGCGGTGAATCCTTGCGAAGAATCCTTATATATTTAAAATATTGAATAATGGTTAAACATTCGAAATAACTATAAATATTTATATAAAAATTGTCTTAACAAATTGTAATTTTAGGTAATTAGTTGTATCATGCTCTGCTAAGTTAATTATTAGTTGTCAATTCAAGTTATCACGTGCACAGATCAGTCAGAGTAAAGATTTAATAATTTATAAAAAATATCATCATTATAATATTTATTACGAATAATTATACGACTCTTGCTAATAGTTAATCCTATAAAAGTATATCGAATAATTATTATTATTATCAATGTCTTTTCGCGTGGAAGATTTTTTCGAAGATTCTTTTCATCTTCTAGAGATTAATTCAATGCATTTTAATTAAAAAAAAAAAAAAAAAAAAAAAAAAAAAAAATGTAATGCTTATTTCAATGTAATATAAACGATTGATATAATAGCAGATTCATTAGGATTAACATAGAATTATCCTAACTGCAGAAGAAATATTATTATAGGGAAGATAAGAGAAAGCACAATAATGATGTAAATCTCGTTGCTTATCTCTATGAAAATTGTATTTGTTCAATGGCATTTTCATTCTACATAAGTAATTCTACAATTTTGTTCATTCTTTCATCAACTATTTCGATTGAGATATAATTGAGATAATGTATTAATCAGATATAAATTAGTAAAATTAATTTTCATTGTATATATATATATATATATATATATATATATATGTTGTTTTTGTTTTTGTTTTTGTTAGTTAAATAGATAAACAAAATTTAAATGCAAACAAATTATTATTAAATTATTCGTCCAAAAATAGCTGATTTTTTAAGTTATTTAGCTGAAGTTTAAAATGTTTTATTCTTTTATGGTTTTAATTATATATTAATTTTTAAATGTTTGCAGAGAGACGTAATTTTTAGCATTTTCGATATTCTCTTCGTTCAAACAAATGTCTTTACTTTATTACGTTCTTATTAAGCTATTTTATCCTCATTTATATTAATAATTCTTTCATTCGAAAACCAATCATTTTTACATAATGCACTATTTCCTACGATTTTATTACATTTCCATCCAATATTATCTTCTTTATCTACTTTAGCGTACCCCTCCCCCCCCCTCTATCGCTCTCTCTCTCTCTCTCTCTCTCTCTCGTTACTATTATAATTATTATTGTTTGTAAGCCTACATGACTTCGTCGAATGTAAATTATAACATTTTTAATTGATAAAGGCAAAGTGATTGTTGCTCGGATAATTATTATAGGGTGTGGTAATAATATAGTATGGTATTATTTTGAAACTCTATTGTGATTATTAGCTATAGTAAATATATTATTATTATCTATAGCGCTTATTAGTGGCATTAGACTAGTTTTCATTTTCATTGGTTTCTTTAGTCATTTAGATACGTACTGCAAGATGTTGCGAATTTATAAATGAATAGACCGCATGAAGTGTGAAGTCGCGCAGCAGTTTTTATCTGATCTTTTTTTATTATGATTATAGAGTTTTAATGAAGATTATTTGAAATGTTCGGCTTAGCAGTGTCGAATTTAATTACAATTTTTGTACAATTGTGCAATTATTGAGTCACATTGCACTTTTGTATCATATACAAATCTACGCTAGTATATTGAACATTCAATTATGTAATCAATAATATTAGAATCAGTATTAATATATTTGAAGGCGAGGGTATATTCTCTTTTATTTGTTCGTCTAATAAAGTCACGTATTATTATTTCAATAAATATTTAATACTTTTGTGACTTTTTAGGTTAGAAGTGATTTATTTTGATTATCAATATTTTTTAGAATTTCACGCAGATCATAAGGTTTTATTGAATCTATAATATCAATTACATTTTTTCTTGATTCTGACTAAAGTACAAGAGATATTTTCATTTATAATTATATAATATTCTATAGAATAATCTGTACTTATTACATTGAATAAGGCATGTTCCATTAAAGAATTATTTTTATAAGACTTATAAATGAATGGATATTTATGAAAAATGATTCGAGTGAAATTTATATGAGAATCTTTGCGTGAGTTTTGTTTAAAATGTAATTTATTAGCATATTTAATGAGTAATAATGTTTATTTGTAAGAGTTATGAATTTTAGAATCTTGAGTATATAATGATTATCATTGGTAATTACCAACGTTTGACATGTATTACAAGAAAACTAAATCCTTTTAATTACAATTTAAAATTTTATTGCAAAGATGATATTTATATTTATAAAAAGATTCACGCTTCAATAACAAATACTTTAAATAATGTGCAAGATAAAAATGAATATAATAAGTCAGAAGAAGTGTGTAAAGACATACCTTTGTCGAAATCTACCGGAAAAAATAACATATTAGAAAAATTAAATTTCTTCAATACAAATTCCAATATTGCATCGATATTAGTTAGTAAAGCGCCTTTAAAAATACAGCCATACATGAAACTTATGAGAATAGATAAACCTATAGGTAAATATTTATATAAGTTAATATATTATTCCAACACGTTTGAATTATCAATCTCTTATAACTGAATATTTATTTTAATAAGGCACGTGGTTATTGTTTTGGCCATGTGGATGGAGCATAGCTATGGCTGGTCCTGTAGGAGCATTTCCAGATCATAGAATGCTAAGTCTTTTTGGATTAGGAGCCTTTATTATGAGAGGTGCTGGTTGTACAATAAATGACATGTGGGATAAAGATATAGACGAAAAGGTAATTATAATTAAATTAAATTGTATAATTATTATATTTTAGAAACTACTAGTACTGATAAATCTATTAATTTATTCTCTTTGTGTAGTTCATTGAATATTATCGCGTTATTAACTTTTTAAAGTTGAATTATGACAAAATTTAATTAAGATTAGTGCGGAATAATTTTACTTTGTATGACAGAACAATTGTTAAGTCTATTAGATTGGATAAATGGACATATGATTTTCTAGGTTTTTAGGACAAAAAACAGACCTTTGGTAACAGGAGAAATTAGTCAAATGCAATCTTTGGTTTTTCTTGGTGGTCAGTTAAGTCTTGGACTTTTAATTTTACTGCAACTCAATTGGTATAGTATTTTTCTTGGTGCAAGTTCCTTAGGTAATTATCAGTGCCATTAACGTTGCAACAAATAACATAAAAATATTTTCAAAACTCCTAAAAAATTTGTTGTTTCTCATAAAATTATTTATGAAAGTAATTATAAAGAAAACAAATTTTAACAATATTTAACTATTTCTAGGTTTAGTAATAATTTATCCTTTCATGAAACGAATAACATATTGGCCTCAATTGATATTGGGAATGACTTTTAATTGGGGAGCCTTGTTAGGTTGGTCTGCAATTAATGGATCTTGCAACTGGTCAGTTTGTTTACCTCTCTATGCAGCTGGAGTTTGTTGGACTATTTTATATGATACAATATACGCACACCAGGTAACACTTTTTACATAAACGTCGATCATACTTATATTTCTTCTAATGTAAAACTGTTGATTTGCATTTTCTTTATTTTAGGATAAAGCCGATGATCTTTTATTGGGTATAAAATCAACAGCCCTTAAGTTTGGCGATAAAACAAAATTCTACCTCTCGTGTTTTGGCTCGGCTATGGTATTTAATTTAATTATTTCTGGCTTTTATGCCCATCAAACTTTTCCATATTACACCGCTGTTGGATTAACTGGTATTCATTTATTTTATCAGGTAAAAGAATTTCTTGCTTTTAATTAAAAATTTACTCAGTTTTCTTATTATTATTTATTTACAGCTTTATTCAGTGGATATTTATAATCCAAATAATTGTGCCAAAAAATTTATTTCTAATTATAAAGTAGGATTTATATTGTTTGTTGGCATTATTTTAGGAAATTTAATTAAAAAAGCAGAAAATCATGAATTATCAGAGAGCCAATTTGAAAAAAATTGACAAAGGGAATATTTTGTCAAATATTACTGTTTCATTGTAATAAATTGTACAAATGTAAATAATTCAAAATTTTTAAACAGTTAAAATAATTTTATTTGGCTGATTAAAATTTCCATGTATATGATCAGATTTTCAACAGATTTAAAGTACACTTTTCCATCTGTACTTTTGTATATTTTTGTTTATGGCTAAAAAAATGCTAGTCGAAAGAGTAGGTACATTCATATAGGTACAAAATTTGATACAAAAATATGTATTATTGTAAATAATTTTAGAAAGAAATCATACCAAAGCACTTTCTTTCCATATTGTAATTAAAGTGTAAATTAAAATTAATTAGAATACATGAATTAAAAATAATATCATTGTAGTATTTTTTTTTTAAGACTCAATAACATCCATTTCATTATTGCTATCCATACTTTGATTTTTACTTTCAATAGGAATGTCACTGGTATTAATAGACTTTATATTATCATTGTTTGGATCAATAACTTCATTCTTTTCAATAGTTCTGTTTATTTCAATATTTTCTTGATCCACTATTTGTGAAATACTAACATCCATTTCTTCATTTATTTTATCTGTTTTATCAATCTCATTCGTTTCTTTCTCTTTATTTTCCTTGCGTTTTTTTATAGCTTCTTGATAAAGTTCTTCAGTTAACAATTTTGCTCTTGTTTTGTCTAGATGTTTTAGATTAGGTAAAACAATTGCTATATATCCACCAAAATGTGGTTCTTTTTTTAGTAATTCGGGATTTTCAATTAATCTTTCATTAACTTCAATAAGCTTTCCTATCATGCAACATTTGATTGTATACGTTGAACCATCGTCGCAAGATAGATAGCAAAGATTAGAATTTGATTGTAAAGGCTGAGCTCCGTGCTTGGATTTTCCAGATACTTTATTTTTCGTTCTGTCCAATTTATCACTAACCTTAAAATTACAACTTTTTATTGTTTTATTCTCTTCAAATATTGTATGACTTGGCGCTAGGCTAATCATACATATACGATTGCTGTGTATTCTTATACAAATATCGTCACCTGGTTTTTGTACATCCATCTGATAATACGGTGTTAAGTACCGTTCAGTTACAGATGGAAAATATCCATCAAAATCAGTTTCCTGTAACATATCAGATGCATCCATTTCTAAGGGATATATAAATCCCTCCTCTGGGATATTTTGATTCATATTAAATGCAGCTTCTTCGTCATCTATATCGTCATCTACATCGTCCTTACTTTGAAATAATTTAATTTTTTTATTTGTAGGCTCGTTATCATTATTAACATTTGTCTTATCACTTTTATTAATTTCTACAGTTAATTCATCAAATTCTGATTTAGTTTCTACTTTACTATCCATACTGTATCTTAATTTATTATTAATATGTAATGTTTATGAACATATATCAATACAACTCTTTAATAATTTACAATTATTAAATTTATTGATAATTAATTATTAACAATGTTTTATACTTCTGTCTTATATATATTTAAGATTTTTTATTCTTGATCAGAATAATTTTTAGTAATTTCAAAGTATTTTAATAAATTGGCTTTTCGATTTGTTTACATATATTGAAACTGGAAAATGAAAAAGAATTTCATTAAAAATATCGACTTATTAAATTCTGTACTATTTATATAATTTTCTTTGTAAAGATCTTTGACAATAAATTTCACAAATCTTATACAAAAATATGCTGTACAATATAATATTAATTATATATTTTAATCAAGAAGGAATTCTTTTACATTATTAATATATACATATATCGTTCACTTGCTTATTATAAATTAAATATTTGGTAAATTATAAAATAGTAATAACCTAACTTTTCTTAGCACGATTAGCAAAAAAATGTTTGATGACCCGATAGACTACGGATTAATGTTAGAAATAAAAAGTCAAAATATTCAAACTCTAGATGGAGAATATAATATTGTTTTACATGAATATTGAATTCACCAAATTTATAAGTTTGTTGACTTTTGTATATGCGGGAAATACAAATGTTGCACAAAACTGCAGTAAATCAACAAACTTTGTAAGTAGTGAAATAATAATGTTTTCATTAAATATAGAAAAATAGGGTATTAATGATTATATAAGCAGTATATTTAGAGGCGAGACGATGAACGAGAAAATAATCATTTTAATTTGTGGTGGGGAAGAAAACTAAATTAATTACGCTTATAAATTATGTTCCAACGACATTATTAAATTGAAGTATAACAATTCTTAAATTGCGTAGTGTTGTTAGAAAATTAATTGTACGGTGTAACGAATGCATGCACAACATATATAACGAATATATGTACATAACAAATAGTAATTTAATAAAACTATTATTCTCCTCCTATTGGACTTAGAAATTTTAACGCATTAAAATACACATGTATATATATATATATATATATATATATATATATATTGACTTGGTATTATTGCAGTTTTCAGGGAAGAACACTTCTTTATTCTCTCTGAATTTTCATTAATGAAAATTTATTATTGATTTAGAGTTTCACAAAAGTATAAGAAGAAATATGACCGCGTGAGATTTGAAATGATAGTACAAGTTGCAGCTAAAACAAGTTAAATTTAACAATTTGGTAACCCGATCGTAAGGGCAATTAGAAAAAAAGCATTAAACAAGGGATGAACGACTGGTATAATCTGCCTCTATGTGATTTACTTATATTTAATAATGAATAAGATGAGCCTGATAGATTTGTAATTTAAATCACATGTGTTCGAAGAAAAACGAGTACGAACTGTCTGCTGTATTTGACTATAATTTAGGATACAGGAATTGGAACCGAATATGTTGAATAACTCGCGAGTCCCTATTATTCTCTACATTTTACTGAGAAAAATTGTATAAAGAGACGTATCCCGCTCAAATAAAATTTTCTCTTCTACTTAATTGATAATAATTTTATCCCCAATACCATTTGAAAACTTTAAGACGATTTATTCCTTTGTTCCTTTCAGCTTGCCATCCAATATTCCTTTTCCACTGCATTATGATTTACGAGTAATATTTTCGCGCGTTTACAGTGTTAAAGAATTGGACGAGGGAGAGTTTGTTTACGAATTGTGCACAATATTTAAATTTTAATAATAATGGACAGGCGTAAATTACAATCCAGAAATGTATTGCACAAAAAACTTTATTCCTCAAGTCAGACATCAGTGAACGTTGCTTCAAGTTTGGCAAAAGAGAATATTATTAGGTCTGCGAGTGCGGTAGATAGCCGATTTATATCCCGCAAACGTAAAAATTCAGAGGATGAAGATGAAAAGAAAAATTTATCTCTCAAGTCTTCTCGCATGACGCCTGAAAGTGTTAGGAAAAAGAAACGTAATCATATTATTGATGATGATAATGATGATGATAAGGATGATGATGACGATGATGATGACGATGACGACGACGATAATGATAATGACGATAGCGATGATGAAAACGATCATGATAATGATGACAATGATAACGATAGTGATAACGACAGTGATAATGTTAAGAAAAGATGGAATAATATTTTTCCGATGCGTCTGTCAATGTCAAAATTACACGCTAAAGGAGAAAAACATAACAAGCTTTCAAAACCAATCAAACCCAATTTTACTAAAAAATTACAAAATAATTTAAATTACAATGATACAAAAGAAGAAAGTGATTCGAGTGGTGGATCATATATAAGAGGAATGTTGGAAGCATTGGACAAAAGCCCTTCAAAATTGAGTCAAAGTTCAAACACTTCCTTTGATAAGTATCGCAAACCTAATCTGAGAACACCTATTCGTTCTAAGCTTAAAAAATCAGCATTAAATTTAACGATTGAGAGATATAAAGAGGCAGCTACTAAAAGTTCACAGGAATCGCTTACTGGCTCACAGATCAAAAAATTAACTTTAAATAAATCGATGGAACAAAGATCGAAAAAGAATAATGATTTGGATAATGAAGAAAACAGTTATTCTCTTGAATCAGATGCATCGGTAGTAGAAAATGATTTACAAGAAATTCCTAGTCTATCTCAGACAAATCAAAACAATCACGACGATATTGACACAAGTCCTGTTAACAATTACAGCAGCAATGGAATAATAAAATCACCAAATTTTAGCAATTTAAGAGATAATGAAAATGTAGAAAAACGTATGAATAATATAACCATGAGAACAAAAAAAACTTCTAATAATAATGATAATAAATTTACAAATTTTATTAACGAAGTAGGAATTACCTTATGTCTTGGCGATAACTTACATATTGCAAGTAAATATTTCATTAGCATTTATTCTTAATATAAATCTTATTATTTTTATTCTTATTAATATTATATTTTTAATAATTATAGACGATGACCCTAGAGAAATTATACAAAAAATGAAAAACATTTTATCTTCAAATAATTTGAAAATAGATGAAATTGTTAAATCATGGAATAATTATATAAATGATGAAGAAAATCTGAAAAAGACTTTATTAGAAATGAAAATAGAAACTGCCGAAGGAATAGGAATTTGCTCAAAAGCTTTATCTCTATCACGATTTTTACTTCAAATTCCTCAATTGCAAATTAAAATATTTGAAAGTTTATTTACTAAACTGATCGATGCTGTCATCACAAGGTGGATAGCTAGTCATCTTGGTTAATTGAAAATATTATATAACATACAAATTTAATGTTTTTATGCTTTAAGTGATTCATCCGACGATGCACCATGGGCAGTTCAAATGTTCCAACAATTTAGATTTTTAGAAATTATAGTCGACTCGGACTTTTTGATAGCAAAACTCGAGGAACTATTAAGTTCTTCTCCTGAGTGGTACCAACGCGAAGTCATAGTTTTTATACCCGATATTATCACAGATACTCATCATCACGCCACAGCTGAAATGCTTATCAAAATTATGAAAAACAGTAGTGATTTGACAAATCTTATTTTAGACTGTATAAATAACTTAATATTGAGCAAGGAATATAAAGAAGAACTTAGAGAGCATGTTTTAGAATTACTAGATAATAGTATCGATAAGAAAGTACTTCCTGCTATTACAAGGTTTTTTATTTTTATTCTGTCATTTAAGTTTGTAATTTCGAATATTTATGCATTAAAATAAGATATTAATTGAATATTACTTTTAGGTTTATTCTTGATGCGTGCGCTACAGAGTCAATTGCATTAAAATCTTTAAATGCACTGAGGCTAGTTGATATGACAACTTCTGTTCAAAAAGAAATTGACGAATGCCATACAATTCAGATGTTTATGATAAATGCTATAAAAATAAATATACAACTTTTTAAAGAGACATCTCAAGCTGCTTTATCAATGATTAAAAATTGTCAGTCTGAAGCAGTACCTCTGGATATTATCATATTGATATTACTTTATGAGACAACAGTTGTAAAAAAGAAGATAATTGAAACAACTCTTATTTCTCATATTAAGGATGGTTATTATAAAGCAAATCTTCTCAATGCACTTTATACGGGACATAAGCAAGTTGTAAAAAATTTTCAACCGACTGCTTTGAATCTGGCAATTAATCTTTTGAAGGCTGAAAGCTCTGCTCATGTGGAGTTTGGAATCGAATGGTTACGAAATATTTTCATCAGTCAATCCGATACTTCTTATAAACAAAGAGAAGTGCTAGAAAAATTGCTCAATCTTATGGGTAATAAGAATAAAACAGTGAAAAATGCCCTTGAAGTACTCTGCAGAATGGCTAATGATGAGACGGAGCGTCAGTATTTTCAGCAACATGCAGGCTTTCTTAGATGTTTTTTAGAGAAAATTGATAATTTACAGTTCGATGAAGTAGCCATGTTGTATCATTTACTTCATGGATTGTGCACTCAATCAGAATTAATTTCAAATATTTTAAACGATGATTTAACTATAATAATGCAGAAGCAATTATGTAGTTCAAAAGTAATGTAAGTAATTCTTATCATCATAATACTCAATAATATATCATTGCGATATAGAGTTTCAATAAATATGTATATGGATTAATTATTTTTTAAATTACGCGATTTAAAAAAATTAAATATATTATTATCGATTAAATTTTTCTATATTTTGATAAATGATTATAATTGTCGTCTTCATTTTCCGTACAATAAAATACGGATATATTAATTCCGGTATATTATATATTTTCTTCTTGATTGTAATTGTTCATTTTTTTCGGTTTATAATCGAAATAAACTCGTATAATTATTATGAAAATTTGCTTTGAAAATATGTTCTTTTGATTTGATAGGTAAAAGCAAAATAGTATTTCGATTAGTTTCATTGTAGATAATTGTTATAATTAAAATAAGACTTGAGCATAGCTAGTGGCCCACGAAATTTTTATTTAAAAAATTACATACATTTTAAAAAGTATATTGACACAAAATTTTCTAACTTTAAATCTACTAATTATAGATAATTAATTAAAATAAACAGTATAATCTAATATTAACATTTTTCATAAAACAAATTTAATTAATTATCATTTAAATGACGCGTATATTATTATTATATATATCATGTATTAATATTTTTTAGAACTAAATGCAAAGGAGTGCTTGGAGCAGTAATGGCTATAAAACATTTAGCTGTTAATAATGAAACAAATGATCAAGCTTCTCAACTTCTCAGTAAGAATACTTTTTAATTAAATAATTTTAAAGCTTTATAAATTGTCGTAGTATTTTGGTTTATTGAAACTCTTATATCGACAATTTAAGGAAACAAATTAAACTGTTAATAATTACGTTGTGTCATCATTTTAGAAAAACGTACTTTATATAATGTTTACCATATTTAGATAAACGTTGAAAAATGCAGAAAAATCTAGAAATTATAACGTAAGAGTGAAAATGTGCGATATGGTGTTTCTGATATCTTAGACTATATACAAATTTTTTAACAATAATTTGCTTCCGTAATATAAATATTGATAATACATAAAAAAAATTGATTCGATGCATTTACAATTTTTAAAATATTCCATTAAAAATAAATTTTTCCCCTTACATAATCATCGTATTATATTTTCTAAGCTCATAAGTACGCATTACATCTAAGTAATAAAAAAATTTAATTTTTTGCTAATTCTAAGCGCTGTTTCCTCTTGAATTTCAAAAAAAAAAATTGGTCTAATTAATGTATGTCTTTGTTTGATTTTAGAAAACACTCTATATTGTTTGAAAAGTTGCGTAAAATCGCAAGCTTTGTTCTATGATCAATTAGGCCAAGTTATTACAAATACTGATAATATCGATGATCAATTTTTATCCGATATAACGAATTTTTTTGAAGACAATTTTATAAATAATTGCTTAGTTGAATGCAACAATGAGTGAGTAAATTTTATGATTGATTGTCTCATGCGTGTAATTGTTATATAATAATTTACAGCAATTGGAGATATTTTAATAAATATCTTTTTCTTCATTAATCATTTTAAATATTAATATAAAAATATGAAGTCGAAATTTTTTATTTAAATCTTTTTTTAATCCTTTGAGGAACAAAAATTTATGATTTATATTATTCTTTTTACATTTTTCAGCAACAATTTGGTACCAAAATTTGGTCTAAATAATGCTAATATGGTAGATAGTTATTACGTTCATTTTGGAAGTGGCAAAACTGGAGCTTTTGTACCTGTATTTTTCAAACTTTTACGTATTTGTAATTTACGTTTGAGTGGAAGCTTGGAAAGTATAAATGCTGTATTAGGTTGTTCAATTTTGATGCCAGAAGATTTGAATATGCCAGAGCCATCGACAGCAGACTATATTATACATTGCATAAATTGGTTTAGGTAGGATAATTTAGCACACTGTTTAACCACAATGAATTTACTAATTATTTGTAAAAGTGTCATAGAATATCCTAATTATTAATAAACGTACATTATCCATTTGTAACATAACAAAGCAAAACAAGAAAAGATAAAATTAAGTAACTATAGTAGCTAACGTCTAAATGAATAATAATAGTAACATTAATTAAAATCGAGAATGTGAGAATCGAGACGTTGATTAATGTTATTTAAAAATATATCGATTATTAATGATAATGTAAAATTTACAGAGAAATAATTGGAGGATTTGTAACGCAAAAAGAAACTTTGTTACGGGAGCAAGTTTTAAAGCGTTTAAACAGTTTGATGAATTTACAAGGTGAATTGGTCACGATATTATCAATGTGCGAAAGTCGATATCAACCACCACCGTGTTATTTTCATCATTTTCCCATTCCTCAATTTGTTAAAATGGACATAAAGGTTGGAAAGAAGGGAAATAAAAGAGGTAAAAAGAAAAAGAAAATAGAGGATGAAGAGAAAGATCAGTCGGATCTGACTCTAAATAGGAGTATATTATTACCAGAATGGGAAAATTGGGTAGTAGGATCGGAACTTACAATTAAAAATCCAGTATTTTTCCGACAAATGGATACAAAAGTAAATAAAAGAATTAAATTTTTATTAAAAATAAAATTATATTACAATTCATTATTATACATATAGCATCTTTTTAATACATTTTAGAATAAACATTTTTGTCTTTTTCTTAATATTTTTTATATATCGTTAATGTTTAAAAAAAAAAAAGAATAGATTTTTCTTTTATCAAATAAATTATTTATATTTTATTTCTAGATTATAAATCTTTTGGATACCAATATGGATATTGAATCATCTCAAACGTCTTCTGAAAACATTACAATAGCCCAAGTTTGTTTTATAGTCAAAGAACTCTTGGGTATGTTTAAGAATCAGTTGTCCGAAAGTTTTGTGAAAAATTTGATTCAGTTATTGCCAAAGATTTGTGCGAAATTAAAGCAAATCATAACTGATTTAAGAGAATGCGAAAGAGCTCACGAAAAAGAAGCTGTACAGTTACTTCTATGTCTTTTAATTACTTTATTTAGTTGGGATGAGTTCAAGAATGTTAAATATAATTTATTATTTTGTGGTGAGTATTGATAACGTATCTAAGGAAAAATATAAGCCATCACTTCTTCGAGACAGCTAATTTTTCTAATTTAAAATTACAATACATAAATAACTCTATCGTAAATTATTATATAATTTTAAGTAAATACTTGTTTTGCTAAAAATTTTCTCAAACATTCCCCCCCCCCCCCTCCCTTCCCTCCACCACTCTAATTTATGTTTTTGCCTAGATGGTCTTAGAAGCTTAATAGGAATGACGAATGAATCAGGCGCTTCATCAAAATCTCAGAAGGATCTTATCGCTCAAGCATATTCATATTTTGAATCATTAGCAGATATTGCAACTCAAATTTCGATAGCTGTTGCTCTTGTAAATATGTGCAATTGTCTAATGAAGCATTCGGTAAGCTTTATAGAACAGTCGAGAGAAAGACAAGGTAATGAAAAGAGTAAAATATATATTAAATAAAAAAATAAAAAAAAAAAAAAACAGTAAATAGGATATTAAAAATAAGTATTTTAGCAAAAATGGCTTTTGGCTTCTTAAATCTTGAATGGAACAATGAAACTCATGGAGCTCAATATAAAAATGCAATCAAGGAATTATTAAAAATGTGGTTAGATAACGAAGTTGATCCATTGGAAACGGTAAATTCAATTTTCGAATGGTTACCTATGGAAGTAGAGCAGTTTAAAGGGCCGCAATCACGTTTAAGTAGATTGGCTTCGATAACTAAGTCGAACTTCTATCTTCTATTCAAGCAATTGTTTGTTAGTCTTGTGAAAGGTGTTGATTTGTCTTTAAATTTAGCCGAAACGTAAGTTCAGTCTAATTAAGATATAAAATGTTCTTAATAAGCCTTCACATTATAATTATTTAATTATTACTTTCTAATTTTAGAGATCCCGAGCGGCTACAAGTATGGTTGAACGTTGCTACGTGCTTAGAGAAAATGGCAAATATATGCAAATCCAATAAAAATAATATATATTTAGTACTCTTTCTCCGATATACAACAATATTATATCAATTACTTCTTACTTCCGGTATGAAGCTGTTAGAAGCGAATATTAAATATCAAACAGAAAAAGTTTTAAGTGTAATAAAACATTTCCAAAGTATGTGTATTAAAAATTATTTTAAATATAAATAAATTTAAGTTGCGAATAATAATCTTGATATATGAATGTATAATCAATATTATTTTATAATCGATTTTAGTATCAGGAAGATTTTTAAGAGATATCTTTTGTACCGCCAGAAAAGATAAGAATGTAACACTTTTGAAATTAATACCAATTGCTAAGTCCAGGCGAGAAAAATTTATTTATAGAGTCAAAGGATTGTTGACTGCAAATAATTCTATTAGTGCATTCTGGATGGGCAATTTACTTAATAAAGATTTGGATGGTGAAGAAATTCCAACAGACGTATGATACTTGATGCATTTGTCATAATCACATTATAAAAGTCGATAGAAAAAATGAAAATTTTTAATTTTTAGTCGCCAGAGGATGTCACTACTGATTTAAACATAACAAATGAAAGTAACGCAAACGATAAAGAATCTGATATTTTTTACAGTGACTCGGATGAAGATGATGACGATGATAATTAAAATTGAAAATTGTTAATTTAGCAGAGTTAAGTATTATAATAAGTTTTGCTGTTATATTATGTACCATAATCAAATTTTTCTTTATCCGATGTTAAAATTTTCGTAGAAAAACAATTATGTTATATTACTTTCAACTAATTGTATACGTCTAATTAGTCTAAATGGATGTTGAAAGTCTGACGCTTCCAACTGCTATTTGCCTCTAAAGTTTCTTCCACAAAAGTTATTTGATAATTATCATCGACCAGTATAATACTATGAGTTCTAGTTCCGTATTTTGCTATTTCATGTCGAACGAATATAGAACTTAGTTCATTAAATGCTTGTGAAGATCGTTTTTTTAATTCATCATCTGGAAGATGCCTGAAAAAAAAAAAAAAGAAAAAGAAAAATAGTAGGAGGAGCAGTTTTACAATATCAATAATTTATATTAAATATTTTGGAAGACAAAATTTAGTATGTAGCTTGAGTAACACCTTTCTTCTAGCTTTAAAAATTGTATTAAATTCTCTATCAACTGCTCTTGCTGTAAGGTCGATGCATCATTAACAATTTTTTCAAAATTTTCTTTACCAATCGATACTTTTTTATATGGTTTTTCTATTCCACTATTCCCAAAAGCTAAAGTTTTGTCGCTAATGCGCATGGGTCCTGGGAAATTTAATAAACTATTCAAATAATAAACGCTACTGCTTCTATATGGAAAAGTATTTCTTAATTACATGGATCATCATCATAAATCATTAAAAGATATTTAAAGCTGTAATATCGTACCTCAAGTCAACCATGATAAAATTATATGGATTGTAAGCTTGTGTTTCTTGATTAATTTTGTGTAGATCGGTGGCATATTTTTCAGTAGACTCTGAATTGCTAAGATAATCTCTAATTAAAAAACCTCTTCCCTTGCCTACAGAAGATTTTGGTACACCGTTTAAGTTTAATATCACGCCAACTCGGCCAGTTTTATAATTAAGTGCCAACCAACTTCCACCTTCTCTTCCAGGTTCCATATCAATACCTCAATTAACGAAATAAGTCATGTATATTTAATAATTAATAATATTACACTGGCATTGCCATACACAATACACAATACACAATGTAATACACAAATTTGTTGTAAAATTTTGTTATAATTTTTAAATAAAATATTTATATAATTTTTATATGTAATTTTGCTCTTGTCATTTAACAACAAATTTGTAATAAAAATGCCTATGTTATATAATAAGCAAAGTATAATAATTTTAACTTTTTCTTTTTACAATTAAAAATGTAATTAGTACTAACTGATTATTAATTTGTATATTTATTTGTATCATTATTGTTTAATTAATAGTTATTTTATTATTCGTGAAATGTTGATATACGCTATAGTAATGTTTGTAAATTCATTTGTTAATGCCTGATTAAGCTGCTAAAGTACTACAGCACGACCACGAAAGAGAAAATTTTTCCTTTCTACTTAGTTAATTTCTCTCATAATAATTTATCGACAGTCGCTTCTGAAATCCCACGTAATTATTGCTGATTATAAATACCTCCGAGACATCCAGGATAGTTTTCCCAAAAATGCGCAGGGTTAGCTGGCCTCTCGTAATATTCGTCTCGATTTGCTATCAAAATTAGGCGGTAGCAACCGGTCGAAGGATTTGCATTTTGGTAAATAAATAAAATACACATGATGTAATTGCAAATTAAATTAAAAGTCGATCGCGTGAATTTGGAATGAATTTTTCGTGCAACAGCTACACTTATGAAATTCGCGAACGTCACACTGACATTTCATAAATGCATACTCGGTTATCAAGAAATCATCGTTCATGAAGATAACAGAGGTGACACATAAATTAGGACTAGATAAGAATGCTTTACAATCATTGTCAACATCTTATATTACAAGTTTCAATTTTAATATTTCAAAACTTACAACGTATTAAAAACAAAATCGTAATTCATAGGCGATTGAAACTGACAACAGAAATTTAAATAGTGTTCGTCCGTGTGAAAGAGACAGACTGAGCGATGAGGGGGGGGGGGGGGGGGGGGGGGGGGGGGGGGGGGGGTGTGAAAAATCAGCTGATACAATAAATAACATATGAAACAACGAATAACCAACAGATTTTTGACACACGGCTTATAGGATGATTGTTAAATCTTTCGTTTAAAAACTTTTTTTCTCTCAATTTTTCCTCTCAAACTCACCTCCTCTCCTCTTCATTTCTCACACATCTTAACAATTATCCTTATAAATATAAATAGCAAAATATTTATAGTTTTCCCAAAATATCATTATTAAAGACTTAGGAGAATGACACGATTATTTTATTTTTTTTTTTTTTTTTTTTTTTTTTTTTTTTTTTTTTTTAAAGACCCTTTCCTTTTCTTTCCTTGGCATATGCCAGCACAGAATTAAAACACTACGACTACTATATAATCATCAATCGTATCTTCTTAAGACCGTCCTTATTTCATGAACTAATCAGCTAAACATAATGTTGCGTGGGTAAAACTGCCGAATATAGCGTGACAAATCGCATCGACGCGTGGCATTTAAAATTCCTCGAGCTTTTAAAAGCGAAAATTTGAGAAATATGTTGTTAGTGCATCGCCGATTAGTTGCAGCACTCGACGAGGATGATTAATTAGCCGTTAGCCCGAGAAGCATATCGCGTTTATTAGGTATAACGCCAGATGGCGTCTCCTCCATACTGCCGTTTAAGCGCAATGAGGCATGAGTGCGTGGGAGTCGCGGGGGAAGATTTCGGGGACGGGTCAGTTTCGTCGTTATGTCGCGGGTCTCGTTTTTGTTTATTTTTATTGCTAAGAGGTGAGCGCATCCGTAGGCGGGGAATCGCGCCGAACAGACACGCGTGCGATGGCGTCGATGCCGGTTAGGTGCCGGCTATTATAAATCGGCTTTTAAAGTCTCGGTATTTTGGCAAATGATTTTCTTTGTTGTTTTTTCTCTTTTGTTTTTTGTTTTATGGGAAAATGAACGAGTGGCATAGTAACCGGTACCATCGTCAAATTTTCCAATACTAACCAACTTTGGCACTGTGGCACTCTGACACACGAGCATTCAAAACTGTATAAATTAACGTTTATAAGTGAATCATTCTCGTAGAGGTGACACTATTATCTATCAATAGCTCAATGATACAATGATACCAATGGCTATACAGGAGTGTGTTAAAATTTATAGCTAAGCCGGTTTTGATCACCTTCATATAAGCGATGCGACTTTATGTGCGTAGGAGAAAAATTTTGCAATAGCCGCCGTATTCAAATTGATGAAGTTTTTTGCATTCTTGGTAGAAGAGATGTTTGGATAGATTCGAGGAACGAGACCATTCACCTTTTTCGGGCTTATTCCTCGGAAATGTATTTTAATTCTGGCTTTATATCCACGTAGTTGCCGAGGATGGTGGCCACTGACAATGACTCGCATAAACGTTAAATGATGATTCAGTCGACTTGGCACAGCAGAAAAGGGAGTGGAATGTTTTCATACGTTACTCGGCAATAAATATTAATTACATTAATTTGTCGACCTTCCTTACTTTATGCCTGACAATCGCAAGTTCCCATAAAATCACTCAGTTTATTATTACTTTAATGTTGATCTAATTTCGGCAAGTTAAAAAATGACTCCGGGACTAACTAGCGATATCATGTCGATCTGTAATGTATACGTATATCATAAGGTATATTTATATATCATAAGATATATATATATATATATATATATATAATATATCATAAGGTACAACCTTATGATTACTGTATTATTAAATGTCTAAATCATATGTTTGATTTCTTATTATTTCTTGACATCTCTTTAGCTACTGAATCCGGCAAATGTAATTATTATTGTGATTTCTAAATTATTACTTTTATATAGTAGATCGCAATAATATATGTACATATGCATATTTGAATTCAATCTATTGATTACAATAAAAGATTTAATGAGTGACATTAATTTAATAATATAATATCTTTCAAATATTCCTATATGGGGTTTGTATTTATAATAATTTATTATTGTATCGATCATCATATATATTAAAAAATCTACTGTTAATTTTTCTTTTAAGGATTTCTACTTTATATTGGCATTATTTGACATTTTATTTTTCAAAAAGAATCATTGGAAAATAAAAATGAAAAGTATTTATTGCTTGTTTGGAATTTGACAAATATTTTATTGAAATTTGATTTATTAATAATCTTGAAATTATGTCTTATATTTCTATTTCTAATGCATAAATGCAGACTGTTATTTAAAGTTTTCGAGAGTTTTTTTTTTCTTTCTAAAATCTCAGGTTCATTTTAATTCAGTAATATAATTTGATTTATTCAACTTTTTATCGATATTATTTCTTATATTCATCTCATCGGACATTCTATTTTATAATTTATATTTTTCTTTATAATTCAAGAATTCTATAAATTAGCTGTTATTTTTTTATTTATTTTTATTTTTCATTTCTATTTATTGTAATTTCACAGAAAACCACCTTTGAATATGAGTTCATTGACTTTTCTGAATTATTTAATTTAATTGAAAAATATTTCTTTATTATCAGTACAATCGTCATCGTTGTTTATTGACACAAAATCTTAATGCATTTATTTAGTTTTAACATTTTAGATTTTTCTATTATTATAATGTTAATATTCTCGAGCGTAGATTTTATCTGTAGTATCATTTATAAATGTATAATTATTTGTTTCTTTTTCAAAATTGACTGAATTTGTTCAGCAGAAAAGTACGTACGTATATTAAAATTGCACATATTCAATAGAAAATGAAAAAATTATTCGTTTCGATAATTTCTTATAAGATAGAGACGAATCGATTCAATTACTTCACACTAATAATGAAAGTTTAATTTAATTAATGTGACATGTTTCTTTAATTATATACGAATATTTTTTTAATCTTATAATTTTTCACAGATTCCATATTAAATTATTAATCCATCATTGGATTCATAGAACCATAGAAAATTTCATTAAAGTTAATTAATGTTGTTGCCTTAAAGATCGAGTGTTTGAAAATATTTTTTGTTTGTTCAAGAAAAATATGACTACAACGCAGAGTTAATCATATACTAAATCTTTGTAAATATATATAGTGAATATGAATTGCAAATCAAAATTGAATCAGAGTCTTAGTAGCACAATTTAATGATTCAATAAATATTTTAATTATCCTAATTAACTTTATATCGAATAGTAGATATTATAAAAGTAATTAATAATTATTACATCATTATTAAAATAATTTTTTTTTATGCATTTCAATCATTATGTGACTTTATATTTGGACTTTGGATAGTCAATTGTGATATTATTATAACGCATCTGTTATTTAGTATTGTCAAATTTATTTTATAAACTAATATTTTTATATGCAGAACCAATATACTTATTATAATACTCATTAATTTTCACTAAATTTGAAATGATTACGTCAATTTATTTAATGAGAAACTCATTATTAAAATTTATATAAATCAACATGTGCACAACGTAGAAGCGTAATTATTATTTTCTTTAAAAAAAAAAAAAAAAAAAACAACAACAACAACAAAACATTAATGTGTTCTTATTCATGGTAAATAATATTATTGTGTATTAGAACTATTTTATTTTTAACTTAGCTAATTTCATATAAAATATATAAAATAGGAACGCGCACGCAAATACGGACATATATATATATATATATATATGTATACTATAAAATTAGAACTAACTACCCCCCCCCCCATACTGGTCTGGGTGCATGTGTGTATATGTTTAAATGTTTATTAATTTATACGAAATTTAAACGAGATTTGAAAATAAATAAATATTTTGTTAATATAATATTTTAATAAATAAATTATTTCAAACAAAAACTAGGAAGTAAATTCCTACCGGAAGAAATGCACGTAAATAAATTATTTATGAGACATACGTATATTTATCGGATTCGCTGAAACTGTCCTCTTTCGCAAATTAATTTCTTTTTATTTCGAAAAAATACACAGTTATAGGCTTTACAATTAAATAAGCAAAGATCACAGTAATGACAATTGAACATACGAGGTACAGACGAATATGATTACTCACGTAAAAATTCATTTATGAGAATTAATTTCTTAACATTATATTAGCGTGTAATGATTTAAATATATATGTAATAATATTATTTATTTAAAATTTGAAATGAAATTATTATGAAAATAAAGAAGATCAAATTGTTAAGTAATGAGTTCAAATATGCAGAATTATAATTATAAAGACATATATTTTTTTAATATTTTACATATTTCTATACTATAAAATATCACATTTCTGATTCATTTGACATCTGATGCATTTGAAATCTTATAAAAAGTAACGTACTTCTTGGGTATTAATTAATTGCATTTGTCACATTATAAACAGAATATTTTATGTTAATGTGCACGATAATACATAACCATCAAAAAAATATTTAACCGATGATATGGATTCCTTATTATTATTTATCGACCGATGTGTTTTTACAATTTGTGAAATTATTATTACCATATAATTTGTAAAATATATTAACTATAATTACAATACATTTATAGATGAGATTGTTAAATATATATATATATATAGAGAGAGAGTGAGAGAGAGAGAGATTTTTTCGAATCGTAAATTATTATCGAAGAATTATTAAAAATTCAGATTTGTTCCTCATAAATGTATATTTGTGTGGTATAATTATATCTAAAGTTTCATATCATCGATAATACAAATATAATAGAAATAAAAAAACTGCAAGTATTATTATATATGTATATATATATATATATATACACATATGTTTTTTTTTAATAAATTAATGACAACGATAAATAAACGTATAATTTAACGATAGTAATAAAAATTGAGTAAATCCATATAATGAAAATAATTATTCAAAAATTCTTTTATTAATTTATTCATTTTATTTGTTTATACATTTTTGATATTTAATTAAAGGTGACTTTTTACCGTAAACTATTTGATGAAATTCGTTTAAATGTTTTATAATTCGTGGTTATCAAAAAAAAAAGAATATTTGTCACTGCAAATTTTGGAGAATTTTCTTTACAATTCAACATTACTAAACATACATTGCAATCAAATATGAAATTTGATATCCATTGGCGCTGATTTTATTATATCGTGCAAAAATGATTAATGGAAGTTACAATAAGACAGCTTCAATTAAAATATGCATAATTGCCTTTTTCTATCTTATTTTTATGTCCATTTTATGTTTCATTTGCATTTTATCGTAACACTTTTAATGCAGTTTATAATATTCTATATATAGGAACGCACTTTTATTATTACTGTCTCATTATAATATAAATCAATTTGCAGATGCCCGAAAGACGAGGAAAAGTAAAGGCCGTGTAAATAAAGCAAATGAAAAGAATACCTTCCTTCTTACAAAAAAAAAAATAAAAAAAAAATAAAAAAATAAAAAAAAAAATTTCATGCAATTATCCTTTACGGGAGTGCAACGTGAGAACCGTAGAGTAAGAAAACCGGCAATTGACGGGATTTTATCCGTCGAAATGGACAATAATGTAATTCACTTAGGAGGAGTACAACATTGAATACAGAGTCCCAGAATCAAGGACATCAAGGGGCGTCGTGAAACCGCGCATCTTACACATCTTACACACACCCACTCGTGCTCGCGCGTCTCTGCACCTGCATCCGAACGTTCATCCCCCTCCCCCTAACAACAGGTAGGCTCAGGCACGCAAGCGTGTAACGTGGTTGCGGTGACGTGCAAGCTCCTGTTGCACGACTTTATATTCGAGCCTTGCACTCGTCGTCCGCAAGTTCGAGCGATAACATCGTTCGCCAGGCGCATTCCCAGGTAAAAAGCACAAGTTGCACGGCTTTCTCTCTCTCTCTCTCTCTCTCTCTCTCTCTCTATCTCTCTCTCTCTCTAATGTATAATGCTCGCGTGAACTTCGTAAAGAGCTCGAAAGTTTTTTTTATTCTTTTTTTTTCTTTATATCATTACACCCTTTTCGTCCACGCTCATGCAAAGTGATATACGATAATTAATACGTTCTTTTATTTTATTTTATTTTATTTTTTTATTTGATGGCGTACGAACATGTCGAAATGCATATGGTATTTGTATTGTATTTGGCGCGATATTTAATTATTAAATATTACCAAATGATTGTTTTTCTTGTTATTGTATATGCGACCTCAATTACACATACGTTGAATTGTGCAAATTGTAAAGTTTTGGGACTTACATTAAAATTAACAAATTCTTTTACAATTAAGAACAATTAAAAATATGCTTCAATTTAACCGTCTCGTATAAAAAGTATATGTAATTATAAAATAGTTAAATGGATAAACGGTGTTAACTAATTCGATAAACAATCTTCCATATCGATGGATACTTTTAATCGTCATTATATCGATTCATTACAATATATATATATATATATATATATATATATATATATATAGAGCAATGAATCGATAAATTTGTTTTTATATTAAAGAACTTTTTTTATTAAATTAAAGTGTAAATACAAATTAGAGATCGATATGTAGATATCAAGATAGATATTTAGAGATATTTATTTTACAAATTTAGAGCTTATTTATTAACTATTTTCCTATTTTTCATGGAGAAGTACGCAATATAGGCAAATATGAACGATATAAAATCAATTCTCGTGTTGTATTTGGTATATACGCTGTTGATTGATGTTTCGCCAATATTTTTTGAATCACGTCCTGACTTGTTTGCGCGTGAGAGATACGCGAGGAGTCGAAATAAGACGACAGAGAGATCTTTTGATTCCATAGAAGGCCTAAAATCTCTGGATTTTGTAAGTATATTTTATGGTTCTTTTACAACATAGAACGGAACTACAATTGTATTAGTACATTTTTTTAAGTATATTGAGTTATATTGTCGAGCGGTATTATGGATAACAAACTATTGAATGAAAATTTTACATGATTGTTGTTAGAATAGTAATGTTAATAAAATCATTGTTATTAGTTTATGAAAAAGAAATAAAGGTACGGAATAAACATATCAACGAATTACCGATTTTCGTTTGAGCATAGATTACATTTTTTTTTTATTTCACCTCATTTTTGTTAATTAATTAAGTTTATTAATTCGGCCATTGAGTTTTGTCTATCGAATTGTATTATTATTGACTTAAAAATATTTGTTTCATTTGTTATGATTAATAAATAACATTTTCTATTTTCTTTGCTCATATTTTACGAAACATTGTTCCTATTATAGAGTCAGAATACGCAAATTAATTAAGCAATTTTTACATTCGATAATAAAATACTTGATATAATTATTATTGTATAAAGTATTTTTTGTTGTTGTTATTCTGCGGTACAACTAATAATTTTGTGTGTGAAATAAAAAATTAATTTAGCAATTCGGCATTTCATAGATAAAAAAACTCATATCGATTGTAGTATATATAATATCGAATTCTGTAAAAAATAAAATACTTGATATAATGTTTTGAATATTTATGCAAATGTAAATATCATATTGGATTCATATCTTATGGAATTTGAAATAAATCTGTTGCCTTTAATAAAACAAATTATCTCTCTTTATTTTTCATCCAATATGAAGATAAGCAACGCGAACTATTTTAAACAATAAAAGATATAACATAATATGTCATTAGTAATTTCAATTTTAAATTGATAATTATTGAGAATAAACCTTCCAAGCAATTATTAAATGCCGTAATTATCTCGATAACTTTGTAATAGTAAAACAAGCTTAAAAGTCTTTTTACATATGTTTCATATATTCTTGTGTACACTTGATTATAAATAATATTCGTATGTTTCTTATGGAAAAGTTAATTATATATGATTGATTATAGTTACATGTAAAAATTTATAATAATGTATAGCACACGAATTGTCATGCTACACAGAATTTAATCTATCGAAGCTGTAAAATCACATTTTCTATTTTCCTCCATTTATTTATATGTTTTATTGAGATCTGTACATATGATATTTTTATGTCATTCGATAATGAATTAAAATATTGTATAGACTGTGTTTTAAAAAGCAGTTAATGTTTTATTACACGGTTTATTTGCGTATTATTTGGATAAATTAAAATTTGTATCGAAGGAGATCAATAAATACGAGTATTTTTAATAAATTAATTCTGTACTATAAATTGATCGTTACAATGAAATTCAATTATTTGTAAAAACATTTTTTAAAAAATGTATCAGCAAATTTCATTTATATCTTTCGTAAATACGAAAAGTGCTTCGTACTACTTGGGATTTTATCAAATTAAGCATCTATTTTTAACGTTATTTTATAAAATAAAGAATAATTTTAAAAGTTAAAAACGTCAAAGTATAGCGGGTTAAAAGTTTAAAAATTTTAACAATTTAATCAAACATAATTTAATTCAAGCTCTAATTAAATTGAACCAACATAATTTTACATATTTTGTAGCTTCGTCCTTATTTAACACGAATTGAGATCAAAAAACAAAAAAAAAAAAAAACCAAAAAAAAAAATACATATAGAGAGTTGAATCGAATCCAAATTAATAGTTTAAAAAAACCATGAAAATATATGTGATATAAGATATGTTTACATAGATGTTCGGTAATTTACGTAGATCGTTTACATAATATGAATAATTAACAAATGTAATTAGAATGGATAAAGTTGAAATTATATATGGTTTCATCCGTATAAAGTATTTGTTTTATAAGTACATTTTTATTATTTGAGTCTTACATTATATAAAACATCCTTAAGTACTCGAATGAGATATAATTTATAAATTATATGAAATTGCAAAGTCATCTTTATAAAGTAATATTAAAATATTTTACTATCAATTTTAGACAATGTAATTAATATTAAACTGTAAATTTATGTTTTTTGTTTACTTTACATTCATCTTAACAATAATTTTGAATAATTAAACGCAAATGCCTAATATAAAAATTTCTCATTCTTATGAATTATTATAAAAAGGTGGCACTTGTCAATCGATTTGGATATCCAGCCGAAGAACATCTTGTGACAACAATTGATGGATATAAGTTACGCATTCACAGAATACCGGGAAGTCCTTCAATTCCTAAGGCAGCGAAAAAACCAATTGCCTTATTTCAACATGGTATATTCGCATCCTCGGATTTATGGATCCTTTCTGGCCCGACCAAGGATTTGGGTAAACGTGATTTGAAAGCATACTTACTTTAATCTATAATTTTATGATATTTGTATACATACTTTCACCTAAAACTTTAAGTTAGTTTTATAAAAATTTTAATGTCAAGGTATTGAATTCCAATAAAATTTGATCGATTAAATTTTCCCGGTCTAATAATTTAAATGGATGTTTTTATTTTTGTCAACATTACATTTATATTCACATAACTTATTACGCAAAGGTGTAGAGATTACAACTATAAATGTCAATATAAATCACATGATAAATCACGATTAATTTTCTCACATTTAATGTCAAGGTTAATTTCAATTTAGTGCCTTCTTTACTCACAACATGAAATTACATTATGTTGATTCAGTACATTTGTATTTAATAAGTAATTTTCACCCATTTTTCACTCATTTTACAACCTAATTTTATGTTTAACTTTTTATAAATTAGATATATTTATATAAATATTATTTCACTTTATTTCATCGTGGGTAATATTAAATGCATAATAGTACTGTGGCAAAACTGCAATCATAATCTATCGTTAGATTTAAATAAAGTTAACAAAGCAGAATTAATTTGGTAATTACTATATTATATTATATAGTGGTTTAGTATCTTAAGATTTCAAATATAAATTAACACGAGTTTTGCAAAAATTCATTGATGTAAACTGATAAATTATAAAATTAAATCTATAACTAATATTCAATTAAAAGCACCTCACGGTCGCCATCACACGCACACACCCCCACAAACATATATATATATATATATATATATATATATATATATATATATCTAGTTTATTAATAATAATACAATATGAAGTATTCTAAATTAAAAATAAAAGTTCATTATAATATTTTGCGAACGGTAGTTTCAATTTTTTTTTATATTTATTTATCTATTAAGTTTATATATCACTCTTATATATAACTCTATTCTATTATTTTTGAAGGATTATTTTGAAGAATATAATTAATTATAAGTGCCTATATATATATTTTTATTAATATTAGTTTACAATCAAATTTTAAAATATAATAGATTAATCGATCAATGTTTCTTATTTAATATTATTTTATAATTTTTTGTATGATTTTTTATATTATGTTTTTTTTTTCTTCTAATCTTATATTGTTTTAAAATACTTTAAGTCATTAAATAAACTCGATTTTCTCATTTAAAATGCGGAAAATATAAATTAGTAAATATAAATAAAATATAAATAAAATTAGTAACATTTTTATTGCCACTTAATTCGTTACACGAAATCTGTTTTCATTCTTATTAATTTATTGCATTGGTGAAAACAATAATAACCAATAATAGCCTATTTTTATTTTATCATTAATTTTTTTTTTTTTGTATAAATGTATAAATGCAATATTTCTGATAATACAGATTGAAACGGGATTAAAAAATAAACGTTATATTTTAAATTTTAATTAGGACGAATATCGAATATTTTAAATAAAACTCGATTCCATTCGAATGTTATTCATGAGTTTAATGGAGCTAATGTTAAATTAAATATTTGCCCCCGAAAATGAAATTAAATTTAAATACAAATATAATGTATTGATCGATTTGCAAAGATAATTTTCTATAATTACTTCTTAAAATTTATTGCAGGCTTAAAATTTAAAGTTCCATATAAGTAAAATAACAAAAATTAAACCTGAATTTAAAACCGAACATTTTCATAATCCTACGGATATTATCGATTTACTCTCGTTAAAGTAAGTATGTACTTATTAGTCCGAAATTCTTTGAATTTCAAAAAATTCAAATTCTATGACTATTGATATTAATAATTTCTTGTCTTGCCAATTATCGAGTCACCGTGTACACAGATGATACGTTTACCTTAAAAAGATGAAATTTGAAGAAATAAGATAAATTTGTTCTAAACTTTGGCACATTCATATAATTTTTATGCAAACTCAGTTAGAGTCTATTGAGTTTACATCGAATTAGCGGCTTTTTTTCTCTTAATGTTTGCATCGTTAACATCGAAGTACATTTTGTGAGATAAAATCAACTTGCATGCGCTGAGTATTCACTTCATATGCGGTTTAGCCTGTTGGTCAAGGTGAGCCGGTCGTTTACGCACAGCAAAAAAGAAAAACAAATAAAACACAATAAACGAACTTGACGAATAATATTTGCAAGTTGGGTTGATATTTAATTAGAACTATGTACCATTGTGCAAGAGCGTAATGTATTTTCAAACCCATTATTAGGATTATTTATTTATACGAATTATACGATTATTAATACGAATGATAATTTTAACAAAATGTAACATCTAAAGCACATTAAGCATTTGCATACTTCTATGTCTTATTATTTCAATTTATAATTGTGATATAAAACTAATATTTCTTACATTCATTATTAATAATACCATTTGCAAATAGTTTTATATCTATGTAATAACTCGTTTACTACTTGCAGTACTTAACACGGTAATTGAAAAATTATTACTTTGAATTTCACTGGGAGAGAATAGCGCCGTGTTTAGAGTTATTAGAATTTTTTTTCTTTTTTTTTTTTTTTTTTTTCTAATCATTTCTTTAACGGACTCAAGGGAGCATAATGTTTTTTTAATGAATTTAAAATATAAGATTACTACTAAATATATATATTTCTATAAATACCAATACAAATTTAAATAGAATTATAATTTAATAAAATATACGAATAATATTAATGAGTGTCAATACCCCGGTAAACAATTATCTGCATTACCAATACTAATATACTATATTAATATGAGAAATAATATACTTACTGTTTGTTAGTATGTATTTGTTAATATATAATAATATCTTCGAATAGATAAGTTTGGGGAAATAAAAAATTGAATACATAAAATAATATTATGATATAAAAAAATAACAGGATCTACAGAGCTTTAAATTAAAAAAATGTTAAATTTCTATGCATGTCTGCGTTTTTTTCTTAATTAAATCGTAAAACGAATTATTTTACATATAGAAAAAATCACTTCATTATTTCTATGTCTAAATTATGTCAATAAAATCATGTAAAGACTTTGAAATTTATATTTGTCTGTTTTTCGAATTAATTGAAAAACATTTGGGATTTGGATATTTTTCTTCTTCACTCCTAAATTATTTGAATAAATAATTTGTATTTAAATAGTTTATATGATATTCTTTATAATACTAACAATATTTACCCAAACAGGTTAGATTAGGCATTCACGTTGTAAAAATAAATTTTTAGCGTCCTGACGAGGAAGTCTTTTAGAAAGAACGATTGTATAAGTTTTCATGATTATTTGATAAAATTTGGTTCTTAAACATTGTAGGATATTAATAGTGATGATGATATATATATATATATATATCACTATCATCACTATCATCATATGATGATATATTAATAATGATATTGGCTAACTGCACAGCAATGACAAATATTTTATAAACAAAATACATTCCAATAAATATAATAATAAAACAAATCGTTTCTAAGTTCAACTTTGAACAATTTTTGTGTTTATGTTCTAGCGTACTTATTGGCTGATGCCGGATATGACGTGTGGTTGAGCAATGCACGCGGTAACACTTATTCCCGTTCGCACACAACGTTGTCTCCGAACCGTGATCAGCAATTTTGGCAATTCAGGTGATTTAGTTCAGTTTGTAAATATTAGTTTATTAAGACGAAAGACTGTTTATGCAGGCAATAACAAATGCAAGCAAGGAATTTGTAAGCGACTTATTGTTTAACGATAGAGTGGGAAATGAAATTGTCCATTTGGTTAGTATTATGCACGAGGAGTGCACGTTAACTTCCAATGATTATATTTTCTATTTACTTTATGCTGAGTTTAGTATTGTGAGTTTTAGATACGAAAAACATTATTAAATACATTAGAAATTAAATAAGGGGTTCTGGAAATGTGTTTTTGTTATATGATGGATATTAAGTTATTTCCGAAATAACAGTTGTAGCAAATCTACGTGCGAATTCCCAAAACAAATAAGCAATTGTTATTATTGCTATTGTTATCAGTTATTAGCTTTGGAGTGAAAAGTAACAAAAGTTGATAATAAAAGTTATAAAATACACGATCGATAAATTTGTATATTATAAAGCCAATATGTAAATAATTTTAATTGAAAAAATGTATATAAACGAATCCTTATGGTAATGCTAGAAGACGCGTTGATAATCAATTTTAATAAACAATTTGAATTCTTAGTTTTACTTATACAATTCTTCTTAAATAAACATAATAATGCATCGTGTTTAAAAATACAATTACTTTAATTAAAATTTAAATAAATTAAAAATACATTTAATGGTAATCCCAGCTCATTATTTTTGTGTTTTATGATGTGGAAATTTAATATGATAATAATTATATTGCCATAGTAAGAAATAATTTTTCAAATAGTACTAATATATTTTCAAATTTATAAATTAGATATTAGAACATAATTACGTGATGATTACAATTACTCATGTCACTACTAAGTCTGTCATTTTTTTAAAGCTTAAATTAAAATACATACAATGATAAATAATTACTATCAAGATATGTTTGTATGACATTTGTAAAGAGTGAAGTTGAATCCGAATTTTTAAGTGAAATTTTTAATTTAAATATTGACGTAGCCAAGAACATAAAATTTATACATTAAAATAGTTTCAACTTTTTAACAACTACACATTGATTTTACAAAACAAATTATTATAATAGAATGACAAGGTTACTAGTATTACGTAATTTTATTAAGTTAATTAGTGACTAATAATCAAGTGATAATCATCAATCCATATTTTTTATACCTCTTTGATAATGAATTATACGAATGTATAATTTTATGTATAATATACGAATGTATAATGATATTTTTATTGCAAAAATATGTATTATTATTCACGTAGAAAAAGTTTCTATGTTGTATAATAACTTTGAATATTTTCAAATTAAAATAGCATGAAAATTAATCAATGCAGAGATCATAACATTTTTAATATATTCCTTTGACTAGTAATTGGATTTGAACGAGAACGAAAAATTTATATGAAATATAATATGATGTGATATTAATATAATCAATAATGTTTTTAAGTTTAATGTTTATATATATATATATATATATATATATATATGTATGATAAACAATATGGAAAGAGCGATTTAAATATTTAATTGTTACATTATAAACTAGCTTCCACGAGATAGCAGTATTTGATATGACAGCTGTCATCGACTATATTCTACAATTAACGGATCAACAATCAATTGTTTATATTGGCCATTCGATGGGTACAACTATTAGCTATGTATTGCTGTCTACGAAACCCGAATACAACAAAAAACTGAAATTAATAATCAGTTTGTCACCGGTAGTCTACTGGCATACGCCACACTCACCTATGGTGAAGTTCGTCAAGAAGAATTTTGAGGCATTTAAAGTGACGTAATACTCATTATTGAGATTAACTTGTCTTGCATGAGGTTTATTGTTATTTTCTATTTTTTTTTCTTACATATTAGAAAATTGGCTAGTTGAATGTATTGTGATAGCGTCTTAGTAAATTAGCAGCAGTTGTATAGCTTCAGTTGAAATAAAATATTTAGTTTGAATGTGAAAATTGAAGAAAACTTTCGTATGCTCTATTAATATATTAAATTGTTGTAGTTAAATGAGGATCGGTAAGCTTTAATTAACAATATGTAAAAAAAAAAAATTTTTTGTTTTTTCTTTTATACCATCTATTTGTGTAATATGTTAATCTTAAAATTATTATCGATTTTTTTAAGAAATAATTAATTCTTGTAATTAATATAATATACGATTCCTACTATTTTAAATAAGGGAATGCTGTAACAATATGTTGATTAACTTTCATCTATATTAGTTAAATTTTTTTTGGAAATTCTTCGTCTTTATGTACTTTTTTTTTTTTTTTTTTTTTTTTTTTTTTTTTTTTTTAGTTTAAATTATCTAATACTGTAATAAGATATTTTTCAAAGCCATATAATCCATGAGCGGCAAATATAATATTAGTAAATATAATAGTATAGCGTATGTTAAACAATTAAAAAATTATATCGAGCAATTACATTACATTTGCCATCACATTTTATCATAATGATATACAATAAATTTATATCAACTAATTATATTCAAACTAGTATTATTTAGATTATTAGAAAAATAAAAGTAACATCAAACTATTATATTAAAATAGAACATAAATTTGATTTTTAAGGTCTATATCATTTGATTTTCAGAATTTCTATATTAGTTCCGGTACTTACGAAGTCTTTCCTTTAACGAAAGCAAACATAAAAGTTTTGTACTCATTTTGCAGCAATGAAAGTATTTTACAACAATATTGTATAAAACTTATATATTATTTGTTTGGTTACAATCCTTCTCAATTTATTACAGTAAGTGTTACATACCGAATTATGTTTATGATGCAATATATTATGCCTTGTTCTTCTAAGAAATTTTTATAAAATTTTTGTTTCCAGTCTAAATTGCCGACTCTAGTCTCATATTTTCCTTCAGGATCTTCGATTCAAACGTTAACGCATTTTTACCAAAATTTGATATCAGGTATATTATAAATTTAAATATTATAAAAAAATTTATATCCTAATATTACATTGTAATTTTAATGTCAATTGATTGGGTCGAACACAATGAACAAAAATAATGTACCTTGACAAAATTCCATTTTGTCTACATATTTGTATATATATATATGTTGTAAATATTATTATTATTATTATTATTATTAATGACAAATATATTGAATCTTGGATAATTTTGAAATACAAGATTTATACATATATTCCGAAATTAATCATTATTTATTTTAAAAACTCTATAACAAGATAAATATATATATATATATATGATTAATAAATATAATAAATTTAATTAGCATGAATAAATGAATTTTGCAATTTATAATAAAAATAAAAGCTATTCGTCTATATGTTTAAATATTCAAATTTTTAATTGTCTTTCTTCATAAAAAACAAAAGAAAGAACAAATTTATTTATACGATGCATGCATAGCTTGAATTTTACAGCCTTACAGTAGGCAACCGTATATACGTGTTTGCTAACGTTGCTATGTCGATGTTGGGGCCCCACGAGTAACAAACTTCATTCAACATACTTTTCCATTAAGTGTTCTCATACTTATTGCGTTTATTTACATATATTTATTTAAACGTAGTCTTGAATCATAATTAACACAATGGGTAAATCGATTTTTATTACACACGGATAGAAACTTAAATTAATTTTTGTTTTAATTTTTTATTTGGTTTATAACGGAAAATTCATATTTTCCAATGGTGTGGTATGCTTGGCAAAAACAAAAAAATTATTTTTCATAATCTAAGAATTACTAATTAATACGGATCTGTGATTCTTTTTCTTGTCTTTGCTTCTAAAAACTTGAATTTCTTTCTACTTTACAAGATTTATTTATTTATGTATATTTCAATAATGTGATATGAGATGTGATGTAATATATTTTAAATGCATTATCATTTATCGAATCATATCGAATTGTAAATATTACTTGTTATAATATAAATTTAGCAGGATTTACAAATATAATTATAAATATTATCTTTAAGATTTTTTTATTAAAATTTTATTAATTTTACACTTACTCGATTGTTATTCAGAAATATCCTAAAGTTTTAAATTCGGCAATAGTTCATCCTTTTGTCCAATCTTCATCATTATCATCATTAAGATATTTCCGTTAATTAGTTCATTTACATCGATTATCTGGATGGATATTTTAAACTTCGTATTGACAATATGCATTGACAGAGGTCCATCTCGGTGAAGATCGGATATTTAAGATTGTCGGATGCTGCTCGAAGGATTTAAGATATTTTTAGAGGCGCGAAAGGATATGTCATTTATAATGTTTTTTATCGTTGTGTTACACATAAGATTTTCGCCTACAATGATCACCAGCTTCTGGGTCACAATTTTGAATGTCAATCGCCACGGGTATCTGCTTGCTTCTTCTTACAGTCTCGTTCGGCATTGCTGGCTAATAAATCTTGATGGACTGATTCATCCGTTTTCGACTTTTTTTGATCTTGAGTGGTTAACGGGGCTGTATTCTACTCGCAATTTCTAGCCATTGGATGATAGAGTTGCAAGCACTTTTGAAACTCCATGATCATTTTCGTTCGCTAATAAGTAGGACGCGCTTTGTGGCCAAAAATTGCTTCTTGGCATTCCTTTCTAACAATAATAATAACAAAAAAAAGCATCTTAAGTCACAATGGCACGCTGCACTAATGGTAATAATAAATTCTTAAAAGCACTCGCAATACTCGCCATTTATCATATTTTAATTATTTAATTACTTTTTTTAGATTCTTTTAAAATGTTTGACTATGGAATTATACAGAATTTTGCAGTGTATAAGCAGAGGGAACCACCGCATTATAATTTGAGTAATATTGTCGCACCAGTGGCTTTATTTTATGGAAAAGGAGATACATTAATTTCACCACACGTAGGCGGAATTTACAATACATATTACAAATATTATCGACAGAACATTGTTATTGTTTGCTTAATTGCTTAATTACTTTATTATTTAGAATTCCATCGATTTGTCGAAGGATTTACGAAATATTGTGACTATTGAACCAGTGAAAGATGAAATGTTCACTCATTTTGATTTCTTAATTTCACGTGATCTAAAAACTGTACTCAATGATCGAATCCTAGAAATCATTAGCGAAGTCGCTTGACATGATTATAGATCCGATGATATTGTATTATAGTATTTAATGAATTCGTTCGTCTAGGGTATTATATATATGCAACTGTTATTTGTTGATGAAGCATATTGTATACTCAATCATCATTGATATTCTGTATTTTTTTATGAAAATATAATTAGAAATTATGTAGTCTTTTAAATAGGAAATAAAATTTATTTATATTCTTTCGTAACCTTTCAACTGATGTACATTTAATAACATTGTTCTTAAAATTGAGTAGTTCTTATATGTGTTAATATTTATAATTATTATATGTATTTGACGTTTATTATAACAATTTTAAAATAGCAATATTTGCGAATGTCTAGTTACTTACGTTTACTTACGTATTTTCATTTACAGATATTAAATTAATATAAACGACAAAATACATCAAAAGTAAAAAAAAATATTTCTTTCATAAATCGTGTGAATTGTTTGATAGAATATTATATAGAAATTTTTTTAACAGACATATACATCGCATAAATAATTAGCAGTAAGAAATAAAAAGTGCATTGAACTAAAATTAATTTTACGAAATAAATACTGTTCGAGAATGTAGAAACTCCCGGCTCATTAGTCATCTGGGAAACTCGAGATAAGAGTTCCGAAAAAAAAGCGAACTCTCGACTACTCGAGGAATAAACATTCAAAACGCGCCTCGGATTAACTAAATCTAAACAATTCAGCAAAACTTCGAATATCTAAAGAAAATACAATTCATAAAGACATCTGGCGAGAACAAAGGTCCAAATGTCCAGCAAAAAGGTCATCATAAAACTAATGCTACGGGACATTTGACGCGACAAATTTATTTTTAGACAAATACCTTTTCTCATTGTATGATATATGGTTGTATGATATATTAGTTGATAATAGTTTTATATAGATGAAGACTTTAGTAATATTATGATAGTAATGATAAAAATTATTGTAAAGTTAGTCAATATAAATTGAATGGCAGAGAGAGAGAGAGAGAGAGAGAGAGAGAGAGAGAGAGAGAGAGGAGAGAGAAGAGAGAAGAGCGAAGGTGAATTTTGATATATCCATTTTCTGTGATAGGTAAATTAATTTCCTAGATAACAGTTTTCTGAGAGACATGATGACTCTCGATGGACTGATATATTCTTTTAAATGGATTTTACGTGTATTTGTTTAATATGATTCAATCTGATTTCATGGCTAACGTAAAAATACTAACTTTTAATTAATAATAAATTTCGTTTAATCATATCTAATTTTTGATGTGCCTATTTTGTTCCTTTATAGGCAAAAAATAATATGATTTAAAAGAACGACTATGCATATTTAAAGCATTCGTTTTAATTTTTAAAATGAAATCATTTATAAATTGTAACTGAATGTAAATTAGTTGTATATTATCACTAAATGAACATATGACTCGTCGTTTTAAATTCTAAGATCATTGTCTCTTTCAATTTAATCACTAAAGATTTATAAATTCTCGAGAATTAGCATGCAATTAAAAAAAAAAATTTAATAAATGAATCTGTTATATTTAACACGTAATTTTTTATGAATCGAAAACAATTTTATATAAAAATAACTATCATCAATCGTGTTATATTTTAAGAGAGAATATATGTACATTAATTGTTTATATTGAATGTTACAATGCTTAAAATTTATTAATATTCAGTAGGGATGAATAATTTATTAATTAAGTGTTTGTTAAAATAAAATATACTTTTAGCATTGTATATACTTTTACTTTTTGTGATTAAAGCTTATTTAATTATATTCTTGGAATATTCAGTACAGTTCATTTGCATAAATAAGAATATTTCATTCGGAGAAGAAGAATACCGAATACTTAACACATAATAAATTCGTATTTTCAATCATTTTATGTAATATTATCCAACATTGGAAATATAATAAATGGTATATGTAATGGTATGGTATATATAACATTGAGCTCAATGAATAATACATTAATCAATGCTTTGGGAAGTAAAGAATTTTTATGTATAATAGTCATCTTAAAATATTATAATAGTTATCTTCAATTTTTTAAAATAAATTTCTCAATTGAGCTAATAGAACCTAAATTTATATTTTAACGTGAAATACTAATTCATTACTAAAGTAAAGTAAATTTCATAGATTTTTCGTTTAATTAATAAGAAATGTTATTATTAAGAATATAAATAATTAGAACTGTATCGCTTTAAGTTTATTATATGTGTAAGATAATAAATACGAAAATTTTATTTATGAGATATTCAATCAAATTATATTAATCTGACGTTGATTGATATTATTCTGTTGCAACTAAAGTCGTTTCATCTCCTTATTTGATAGGATTTTGACATTATCTAAAGTTGAATATAAAACGTGTAAAAGTATCATTAAATTTATAACAAACTTATTTGTTATAACATTACTAGTCTTAGCGACTACATTCATAAATGGTAATATATATATATATATATATATATATATATATATTTAATAATAATTTTTAAATTAACGAAATAATTCTTTACAGTTGAATGCAAATAAAAAATAATTCATTTATACATATATCACGGTTTACTTATATATACAACCAACTGGAGTATTCTTAGTTTTTGAAAATTTTATTTCTTCTTATTATAAATGTTTTTTAAATATTAAGATTCAGAATTTAAATATTAATAACCTTCAAATTATACTAACTTATTTAAATAAAGCATATGATTTTTATGTTTTTTTTTTTTTTATGTTTAATTAACTGTAAAAAATACTGATAAAGCCGATGTAAATTATTCGTTTGTCACTTAATAAAGTACGATGTATTATTTATTCTTTTATTAGTATTCAATAAAACAGTATAATAAACTCCTCATAAAAAAAAAGAAATTTCTTTACAAATTTCCTATTTAATATAATTAAAATATTTTACGTTAAATTTAGAACATCATAAAATACAATTTAATGTGATCGATGTAGAAAAAATAAAAATATATAATCAACAGTGAATAATTTTGTGCTATTTATAATTGAATTTATTTCCCATGAATTTTTTTACATAATTTATTTGATTTAGAGATTTCATTCTACGATTTATAAATTTAATTTTTACTAATTATATTGACATGCAATAATTAACAATTATATTGCCAAGGAATAAATTCAGTAATAACAATAATTTTCTTATTTTATTAAAAATTCATTTAATATATTTTCTCAAATTCATCAATTCACTATTATATAGTTAAAAATTTGTAAATAATTGTCTTTTAAAAATTGCTATGTATTATTGTAAATTTTAGAAATTTAACATCAGTCTATTTTAATGATTTTTTTAAAAAGAATAATTTTTACTTGTGCATATCTATATATATATATATATATATATATATATATTTGTGTGTGTGAGCGCGTGTGTATTATTTACCATATTTTATGAAAATTTAAATCGTCTTTCTAAAAATAATGCAGTGAAAATAGTCTTTTACATGAAATACAAAGTTTTAGCTAATAAGTGATACTTTTAACAAATATCATGTAAAATTCAGCAGACATTTAGTAACTTTTACTTAAAATATTCGTCAAACTATTATTGAAATTTCACATAAAGAGTGTTTATAATACATGTTCATTAGCTAAGTCACAATATGTTAGTTAATGGGACATCATATAATTTACGTGACTAAGAAAATTAATTAAAATAATCTGAGCTACAATATTTATCTTTTTAGTACTTTAGTGAGGAAAATAGTCTATTTTATAAATAACACAGATGAATATATAATAAATAGTAAATTACTTGTTTACTGAAATAAATTATTAGTTAATTAGTATATATAGTTCATAGAAAACGTGTAATAAATGGTGAGGAAACGATGTCAAACTTGAAGAAGAAAGTACAAATAAGTTTTAGTAATGTGTAATATGTAATAGTTGCAGGAATTTCATTGAATGAAATGTTTTCATTTTATGTATAGCAATGAGACGTCATAGCCGTAAGTATAAATACTCGTTAAAGTATTATTATATAATAGCAGTTACAGAATAGTGTGAAATATATTTGTAATTCCATTATGTTTTAGAACATTGACATTATGATTTAAACGTGCGTGTACGTAAGTATATAATTAAATATAATTATATCTCAACATTCTCTGAAAATTCATCTTTTAATCAAATGACAAATTGATTATTAAAAAATTTCCAAAAAGATGATTGCATTTAAATTTTATTTCTTAATTGAAATTCAATATTTTAAATTAATGAAGTTTTTATTATAAATGAAATGATTATACTAAAATCTAAATTTAATAGTTAAATCGGGAAAAATCACTTTTTCTGAAAATGACTTCAGCCGAGTACGAATTAATTCCGACTTCGGTGTTCAAATATCGTATATCTCTTTTTATCTAAGAATTTAATGTCTATTTCGTTAAATTTTTAAGTATTTTGGAAAACTTATAAAATTATTTGTTCAGTTGATTTTCACTTTAAAGGTTGCACTTTTTAAAATGGAAATTTAAAATTACAATCAATCTCTTTAAAAGAGAATTTCATTTATTTCGAAGAATATTTCAAAGTATTATTTTTTGTATTATATATTCTAATGTTTAAAGATTTTAAATTATAAGCGTTAATTTACATTATTTATATTAATTTTATAGTTTTATTTAATGTTATAGTTTTTTTTTTTTTTTTTTTTTTTTTTTTTTTTTTCATTATATTTTTATTTTCACTTATGGTAAGTTACATTAATTCAACAAATTAATTGCATAAAATGTATTACTTTATATTTATAGAATAATATAATACGGTCAAAGTGTTTTCATTTAATATATTCCAATTGGTTATCGTTTTTATACAAAAGCAGGACATGCTAATTTATGTGAATTTAACATAGCTGTCATATTATTACATAAAACAAATTTATGGAAATACAATTTGCATTAAGATTCGGATTAATTATTAAAAATAATTTGAACAGAATTTATAAAAATATTTTGAAAGTATACGATTGAAAATCATATGACTTAAGCAAACATTAACATTTGATTATGTAAATTTTTAGACAATGATAAATCTTTATTTATAAATATGTACGTATTAGTATTGTAATTTTTGTAATTTCCAAAGAGGTATTGTCTGTAAGTTATAGGGTATTGAAAATAAAAAAAAAAACAAGAAAAAAAAAATAATAATAATATTCATAATATCCGTATACTATGTTTGTTTACGCGAAGAAAAAAATGGTTTCTTTAACTATGAACATAAAAATAATATGGAATAAAGTGTAATATTAGTTATTGATGCTATTTAAAGATATTTTTAGAAAAAATGAGTCATATATTATTGATGATATTTTTAACAGTCAAAGAAATTCGAAAGGTTTAACAATTGTAATTAGCGGTTGTGAAAGAATATTAAAGAATTCGTAGACATTTTAACAAATTTATCGAAATTTATCGTAATTTATCGATTGTGATATTTGCTATGAAGATAATTTTGAAAAAGAATTTGAGAAGCTGTGAATCTTTGGTAGAAGATAGGCATAGTTTATTAGAAATTGATCATAGAAATACTTAAACATTTGGAGTTTCAAATTCTCATTTAAAGTTGGCTTAATAATGCGATATTAATGTAAATTAAAACCTCTTCTTAAATCCTGCAAAAAAAAAAAAAAAAAAAAAAAAAAGAAGAAGAAAAAAAGAAAGAAAGAAAAAAAAAGAAAACTAACAATAACTCTGCTACACTCGATTCATCAATTAAGATAAACGAATATTTTTCATCGATAATGTCAAATTAGATTGTAGTTAAGTTATGATTTGACATGATTTTACTTAACATTGATAACAGAGATTGCCGTAAAAGATGAAACAGTAAACCAGCTAGGCATGGAAATTGTAAGAGAAATAAATTTATAACTATATATTTATTATTATGTATATTCGCCATGTAGACGGGCGCGCGCGCGTCTGTATGCATATACAAATATATTGTAAACACAGTAGAGAGCGAGTTAGTTTTCGAGTTGTTGAAAATTGTTGATAAAAGTCGAGCGGCAATGGAGATTTCTAATAATGCGCGTAGAGTTTATAGGTAAGAGCGAGACGGGGTATTATTTGTAAGGAGATAATGTGCGCTCGGGATCATCGAAACTCTGACAAATATCACGATGATGAGGCTATTCCAATAAAACTTACCGAGCGCCCGTAGTGTCAACCAAGCAAGTGATTATGTATGCATAGAATGCCCATTGAAAACGTACGCATGCTCGATCTACGCTCGAAATATGATGGCTGAGCGCGCGTGTGTGTTAGTGCGCGTAAGTCAACGAGCTCTTCCGCCGAGTCGAGCGCACCGGGTATCCAAAAGGAATTATGTAAATTAGACGAATGCCGATGGCCGCTGTATGCGGCAGTGCGGCGTGGGGCGCGCGAACCGCTAACTTTAAGCTCTCTCTCTCTCTCTCTCTCTCTCTCTCTCTCTCTCTCTCTCTCTCTATCCACTGTCTTTCCTTCTTCGTCTTTCGTCTCAGCTTCTTCTACGGTCAGCTCCTCCTACGTTTGTATTGTATGCGGGCGCGCGCCGGGCGGGAGGCTCCTCGCCGAGGAGAGTTTAACGAGTTGCGCTGGCGCGACGAGAACGAAAATTTTCGCGGCTCAGTTCGACTTTGACCTTCGGAAACGTCGCGATCTCTAACGCGGAGAATGATGTATGTAGGAAGGAATGTTGTTTCTTTATCGATAATGGTATATTGGATGGTTTCAAGGCTCACGCACATGCGGCATTGATAGATTCGCGGGAGTGCGGAATACATTGTCGTTTTACCATGTGACGTTGTTATTGAAATGATAATCGAGCGAGCGTGTGGAGCGCTCACCGTCACTAGCTTTCCAATCGACGAGTTCGCTCAAATTTCCCGCCACTCTAATGCCCGTTTTGATTAATGGACCAGCCGATGCGAGTGTGCACTTGGGATCGCTAATGCAATTGGCATTTTGCGTAGTTTCGCGGGCGCTCGTCATAACACTCGAATGCCTCGAATAAACGGCCCTGGTGGTTTGAATTAACGGAGAGGCAGTCGGCAGCAAGTCGCTGGAGGTATGGAGAGACGATCGTTCGCGTAATATCCGGCTATGATGCTCGAAGGCGGGTTGGTTGAGCCACGCGAGCCATATTTGCCCACATCGGGACTGTCAAATATTATTACTGCGCGGCCAGCCGAAGAAACACGGAATCGAGCCAAAATCCGCGCGCTAGCCAATTACGTCGAAAGATCTGTGCAGCTGAAGGATAATTGTCATTATCGGCGATTATTTCCCATTCCTAGGACACTGTCGAGTGTTGCGAGCCGGCTATTGGGGTAGAGGGAGAAAAATAGGGAACATCGAGGATGATGTTCGGTCTTGCTGAATAAATAAGGATAGGAGGCCGGAGGTTGAGGCGCGAGCGAAGAGAGGAGCCCACGCGACGGCAAATCGCGAATTAAAGCGAAGATTCTAAAGTGTATGGCGCAGGTACGAGGCTGACAATAACGACTGCTACCTACGCACCATTAACCTAGTTAGTCATCCCGACCCGGATTCCCGGGCGCGTTTCGCGTCGGGCGCCACTGCAGCACTGCACGACTGCTCTCGCGATCCAATCCATTGCCGGCCGACGACGTCCTTGGATATTTCACACGGAGAGCAGGCTCGAGAGCTTTGCCGGGAAAAGCGGAAGTGCGATGAGAATTCGGTCTCTCGATCCCATCCAGGATACCCGCCACGCTTACTGCGCTCTTGCACATTGTCCATTGCCTGGGCGAATTGCGTTGATTTGCGTGTCAGCAGAGCTAATGCGTCGATCGCTTATCTATAATATAAAGTACGCATAGGAAAAACTCGTTTATAGCACGAGCGCTTAAGATAAATACATTTTTCTTTTCGAGTGTTTTTATGATATTATACGACGACCTCGCGAAGGCCTATTAATGGCCAATGGGCCACGAGCGTAATAATACTCGTGAAAAAATATTGACAAAAATCTCAGCTCCGCCGCGTATTCCTAGGGATTTTGAGCGACTGTAAAGCAAAACATTACACCGAATACATTTAAATATTAATGCCCATTAAATAAAAATGTTTATAAATTACTTATAATAAAGATTTTTTTTCTTCTTCTTCTTCTTCTATTTCTTCCTCATCCACTGTGTACCATGTCGCGCTATTTTCATACAATTTCCTCGTTTTTATGTAGACGACATTTAACGAGAATCAATTCATTAGCGAATATCGTTAATTTGAAAAAAGTGCTCATCATCAAGACGGAATAATATATATATATATATATATAGAGAGAGAGAGAGAGATAGAGATATGGTACTAAATGGTGGCTTATGTAATGAATATTTTTCTACACGATACGAAGAAGAAGACGATAAAATGAAATACTCATTTACGCATACGCTTCATTTGTTAATAATATTTTACGCGGCGGATGAATAATCACTTAGCTTATAATGTGTGTGCAATGACTCTGTGATTTGGCCTTTTTTTTGTCGTTCGAGTGAATAAAAAGTTGCGTATCTCGAGTTTCCGCATTATCGTCGAGCTGATCGTCAATCGTGAAAAAAGTCCGACCAGTTATCTAAAGCGAGAAAGAAACATCGTAACAGCACAGACTCTCTTAGGCGAATACTCTCATTTACAGCCTTGTGCAACTAAACTAGCGCCTACTAAATCGAAATAACATTGAGCTATCAATTGGCAAAGCTCCCGTTTTGCAATCCGACACGCACGCGCACGGGGGACTCGGCAGCTGGGCTGCGCTTAGCCTGTGGAAATCGGAGCGCGTTGTATTGTTCGATTGTTCCGCGGCTCGGAGCATTGGCCTCCGTGGGACATCCTCCTCGTATTTTGTTAGTCTTAGCTTCGACTCTCTGCCTCGCTTCGGCCGGCTTTAATTGTCGCGGTATATTGCATTATTAGTCGCCGGCACTCGGGCTCGCCTTACTCGATCGATCGACTCTCGGCTTAGCGATTATTTCTTATCCACGAGCAACGACGTAGCCAAGAAAAATTTGGCCGCGCGCGCTGCCATGTGAGTTAGGAGCGTCAGAAAATGCGGCAAATGAGATCAGTCGAGTCGCGAATGAAGGGACGCCGATTAGACACATCGAGCCTTGCAAAGCCCGAAGAATGACAAACGAACGAACGAACGAACGAACGAACGAACGAACGAACGAACGAAGGAACGAACAAATAAACAATAAAAACACAGAGGAGAAAAAACAAATGTCAAGTCATAAAATGATGACGGACGGAGAATCGACGTAGCCTCTCTACAAGGGCGACGGATGGTGGGAGACGGGGGGATGGGAAGAGACGAAGAGGGGGATGGGAAGAGGGGGGGGGGGGGG